AATATGTTAATTGCTGGTATGACAGTTACTTAAAAAGTATTATGAATGTTAAATATATTAAACGGATGTTTGTTAGATGTTGTAATTATTAATACAACAGTGCTTGGATAACAGATTTCAGTCATTCGTGTTTTGGTCTTATCAACAGATGAAATTTAATTAGTGTTTCTTGAATACTAGAAACACCATTGTGTTTCTCTTATTTACCTCTCAATACCTTAGAAAAGTTACAGGTTAAAATTCTGCGAAGCTCTCGAAGATTCCTTTTAGAGAGAAGAAATGTACAAAATAAACACGCATATTTTACTGATAAATATTTCGAAGTTTGCAAGACTTACATTTGTCTATAAGTATTGCCTTCATAAAAATTACGAAATTAAATTAATTCTAAATTAACCTGAGAAGGGTTAACTTCAGTAAATCAATAGGTGTTCCGTTTTGTTATAAAGCAATATTGACCTCATTATTATGACCTTTTCTATATGAACTTACAGTCTTTTAAGAGCTAAGAAATTTGCATTCCATTACAACTGTTGAAGGAAGTGTAATGGAATACCTCATTGTTTTTGGTAACTAATGTAACAACAATAAGTACTTGTGTGCCAAACTGCGCTCTGGGCGCTTCTCAACTTAATGGATAGACATTGTAGTTGGAGTACGAAAACACACCCAAATGAATAGTTATATCAATGGATCTAATAGATCGAAAGTATTATTGTCAGGTGTGAAGGCGAGGACAATAAATGGGAAAGGGAAGGTGAAGTTGAAGTTAACATTTCCTTCCTAACTTCCGTGACGTCTTCTCAATTGTGTAATACTTCCCCCTACCTATAGTCATTTGTAAAATGGGTAAACAAATGAAAATGAAGGGATCTGTAAGTATAGATAGGTATATATCACCAAGTTATCTCTGTCTAAAATTCATCACTTACCACAACCTGAATTGATCAACAAAAAGTTTAAGTATTCATCTGGTTGATCACCTCCACTACTGTAAGTTACTTCAAAAAAGCTAATACAAATGGAAATTTCAGGAAATTAATGTACTGAAAAAACTTTGCAGGATGCGACGTTAAAGGTCCAATAACAGGATTATGATAAAGGTGTTAACTCTACGAGACAATGATTAACAAAAATCAGATTTCGTATTGCAAGAAACATTTCCTCCAATCTTGACTTAATTTATTATATAAGCGACAATAACAGAATGCAAAATCAACGATTTTTATATTTTATTTCAAAATTTTTAAAAATGCAAAGAATGAAATTTAACTTTTTTAAAGATAAATAAAAATACCAAATGAGCAAAAATACGCGTATTTCGGATGGTAATGATTGAAATAGTTAGAGATTAGGGAAATCACAGAAAATACATAAAAATTTGCAAAAATGACTTTACTATTTGTAGTAGAGTCAGCTCAAATAACTTTCATATGAGGAATATCTTTTCAAAAGAATTCCAGCAGAAATTTTGCAGCATTGAAGTAATTTTCTGGATGGTCAAGAAAGGAATTATAGTCCAGAATAGAACAGAAGTGCACAGGAGGAAAATTTTACATCTTATATGGAAAATATCTACAAAAATGAGTAAAAATACGGAAGAAAACAGAAAATTTAGAGTATAATACAGTTTAGAAAATGACACATGAGATAAAACAGCGAAAAATTAGGAGTTAATTTGGGAGCATAAGGTTGGAGAAGAAGGATAAATTTATCTATTGGTTTAAAAACTTTTCTGCTAAGTCAATTTTGATCAAGTTTTAAATCTCATAAAATTGAATAGAATGAAATGGATCATATCTGAATTTGAATTCAATTTAAAAAGAGATAAGTTAGGGAATCAAAAAATATTTGAATCGAACCTACAAAATAAACTATCTGGAAGTGTTTTTTCCTACCTGTTTTCTAATGATATTTTAACAAAATTCGATTCTATCACCAAACCTATGCGCACTTCAGTTTTTTGAAAAAAGGTATCATTTCTTCACTTCCTTGGTCCATATTTGAAAGACTGAATAACCAAGTGGGATTAAAGAATAGTTCGTCTTTCAATTTCCAAAATTAACCAACATTTATGATAATTACGATATTGATACAGTTATCTTCCTTCTTTAGCTTTATGCTCCTAAATTAAATTCTAATTTTCTACTGCTTTATCTTATGTGTTAAATTAAATAAGAATTACTGCAAAAAACGATGTAGAGTAGTATCACAACATGAATCACTACAGCAATAAGGGAATTACACATTATTCTCGACATATTGTAAGAAGAAGAAAATCGATATCACATATCCGTAAGATATAAATTATCAGTCAGTGTTTATCATGTAATTTGTATCCAACTGCTGAAATAAGTACATCAAGTATAACAGAAAGAAATAATGACAAATAGAAATTTAGCAAATTCCACTCCAATTCAAATGTATTTGCTCAAACTAAGTAATAAATCTATCATTTGTTGCTTGAAACATTTCTAAAACTAAGAAGAACCCAAGTTTAGTGCTACTATAAAAAAATACATACTTATGATAGGAACTTATAGAAGTTATCATCACGAAATGCATTCTGATAAATATTTGATTAATTGATCGATTGATTGATATAAAAGTAGAATAAATAGGATAGAATAACAACATCAGAAACAAAGAGATAAGCGCTCATGACGTTCAAAAATACAAGTCATATTAAAATGAAACATGAAACGTTTTCAAGTAAAGCGGTCATTTCGACTGTACTTGATGAGAGAGAAACTGAGGGGAAAACCACCCTCGAGACCTGTTTATATATGGGTTGCACCGGGGGACAGGGGGAGGTGAATATACCAAGTGAGGACAAATATTAGTATTAGTTTTATTCATGTTTAACGAACAAATATTAAATGTAGAAGAATTTGTTTAGGGTTTTACCCCCTTCTGATAAAGAAATAAATAAATATTTACTGTTGTGCACTGTCATAAAGTAAGCCATTTTTTTATATTTGTAGTTTCTTATAGATATAAAAAGTATCTGAACAAAAGGCATATTATACTCTAGATTTAGTTCTTAAATTTCCTCTTTTCCTACAAATAAATTAAGCATCTATGTAGACAAACCTTTGATAAAGAAAAGAGAAAAATGTGAGTCAAAAGCATTCCAATAGTGATATTGCACTGTGAATCATGACTTAATGCAAACAAAATCGTCTTCATCTCCCATTTTAGTTTTCTAATTTCTGTTTTTTTCTATGTTTCTCTCAAATCTTTTTTCATCTTATAAATTTTATATAAATAAGCAACAATTACATTTGCTAGGAATAGATGATATTATTAAAATGCAATCTGCAAATATTCCCATATCAATTCTCAACGAATGTACAAAAGTAGGCCATTTCAAAATTAACTTCCTATCTGACTACTTCTAGCACTCTGCTTCTTTGAATAGTGATTTGTTACTCGAAATAAATTACTGTAATGAAATTTAAAGTACTGCAATGCTTTCTCTCTCTAGGTACTTCAGACTCATTCATTTGCTGTACCAACGGAACTTCTTAAAGGAGAGTATAACTCCAGTAACTAGTTCATTTCGATTGCTGCTCACATATCTCAAAAATTTTTATTGTTGAAGTTAGCTTCCAAATGCAAGCTTCCAAACCCAGAAAAGAAAATATCTCATCTATCTCGAAACACTTCTATTCCCAAATAATAAAACTATCTCACATAAAACTAGTCACTAGTCACTTTCAATACATCATTCTTTCCTCTACTATCACTTATTTTCTTCACAAAAAAGTCATTTTATAGTTTTTGACTTCAAAAAATTTGCACGAATCGACTATTTGCACTTCTCATATTTTAGAAACATTCAAAACAATCTGTGTATACATCGTGAATTCCCCTGCTTTTGCAGAAATTTGTAGATTCAAAATTATCTTGAAAAACTGCTTGATATTAAGCTTCTAAAATTAGCCAATGGTTTAATATCTGTCCATTCATCTGTACATAGCTCGAGTTTGTTGTAGATTGAAATAACCAAAATAACGAGAACACAATACTGTTCTTTCCTCATGGCAGAATCAATTTGTACTTCTGAGTCTCTCTGTACAACCTCTCTGCGCTTTCCCGTCCTATCATTCGACCACTATCCAAATGCTCTTATGCAAACAAAACTTGAGCAGCAGTAAAGCAATACAGTGCCACTCACGGAGACACACTAAACCGATACCAAAACGATGGCGACAAGGACGAGAAGCTCCTCGTCCGTAACTATATATCTCTCATACCTTCCCTAAAAGGTCGAACTGAAGGGGTTAACAAAGACCATTCAAATAGCTTTAAAAATGTTCGAATTAATGAAACTAATAAATATCAAAAATATTCCAGAAAAGAAGCCTTTTAAAGTACTTATTTTCCTTGACATAAAATGCTGTTTAGACACTCCATGTGGTTAATGTAATCTGATATCAGCCAACAAAAGAAAACAAATCTCAAGAAAAAATTTCCTAAGGAATAAAAAGCGAATAATGAAAATAAGAAAATGAAATTAGCAAAAGTTAAGTGCAAGATAGGAAAAAAACTGAGTTAACCTAAAAAACAATAATGATATGTATCGCTCCCAAATTCACTAATATAAATGATCACGTTTCAATAGAAGTTTTGAAAACAACATTGTAAGTATACTCCGATTCGGTAATTTCTATTTCATTTTTTCTTTCAACTACTAATGTAGATTTAATTAAATGAGAAACCAGTATTTCAAGAGAATGAGAAGTCTATTCATTAGACAAATTATTACGAAAGGAATGGCCTAAGGCACTAATTAAAATGTTCATATTGAAATGGATGAAGAAATACTTTAAGCTGCCAAAGCATTCTATACAAAACAACTCCTTAGCGCTCTTATACAATTCTCATAAAGAGTGAAAATTCAAAAATTGAAAGATCACAAAAAATATATGTGAAATCAACGAAAACAAACCAATTAAATTTTGGGAAAGAATGCATTACTGATCAGATTTCTGCTGCTACTGCTGTTGTTGTTGTTGTTGTTGTTGTTGTTGTTGCATTGATTGTAATTTTCGCCTGAGAACGACCACCAATCTATGTTGCCTGAAAAATGAAAGCTCCAATTCCATTTCTTCATTACTATTCGCTGTGATGAGCTCATTCCTTGAACTTGGAGTTTTTCCATATTATGATAGGAATATTAGAGTACAGCAAAATGCAAAATAGGTTTCAAATTAAATTAATATTGCAAATTAAATCCTTCCTTATCCATCAGTAGTTGATACCAGCTTTACATATCAAAGTTCGAAGTAGAGAAATTTTAATAGGAAATGATGTTAGGACGGAATTATTCTAACTCAATATAAAAATTCGCATAATACGAGTCAAACCTCAATCAAAACATATGCAACATGATGACTAAACTAACGAGGTTATAAAATTTGAGGTCAGGTAAGGTCACAGAAAAAACGGAAGAAAATCGTTATGACTAGCTTACTACAGTAATCCGCAAGTTCATACTTGTCAAGCAATCACAGTAATCTAGAGATTTTATGGATCATTTTACATTCGTGTGCAACCGGAATGCAGCATTGATGCAATAAAAAAAATTCAGTCATAAACTTATTATTGATTTCCAGCAAGGACGGCTGGATCAAGCACTATCATAAAATGATTCATATGAAATGAGATAAATGAATAGAAATAAATAAAATTAATGAGGGCGGAATAAGGCCAAATGTGTTAAAGCAAGTGATTTCTTCATGAACATCAAAGGTTGAAGCCGATGGACGTCCATCAAAGATGATCACGATTAGCTTAACGACTACCTTAAGTAGGGATATAAGTACGGTAAATGTAAGGGAAGAAATATATGCCACATATCAGGAAAAGCGGAAATAGAAGAAAAACTTCAGGTATATAACATAAAAAATATTAGTGGAATTGATGAAGGCAAAAAGAGACAGCCGAAAGTTCATCATAAAATGATCAAGAGAGCATTTTCCATTCTTAAAACAACTATCGTATTTCCATCATAAGGACCATTTGAAACCTTCCCGCCCTATTCCTGAACCCCTGCAGTGCCTTCAACAGGACGAACTATTGTTGTACCGTGTACTGACTTTTTCTTAAAAAGACACTTGAAACTGCTTAACAATAAGAACTTTTCCACTTTTTTCAAGTTTGTGAGAGAATATGGAAGTAATAATAAAGAGTTAGCATAAATATTTTCCGGAAAAGAAACGTTCAGATTTACTGCTTAATCTTATATGTTTATATATACATATGTAGTGACATGAAGAAACGAGTATTGAAAAGTTTTGAACCATATGCTATAAAAGCAACTTAGAATACGAAAATATACTGATATAAAGTAATCGTTTTCCAAATACCATTGAATACATCATTAATTCTGGCAATTTTTCTAAGTTTAATTTAAATATTGGAAATAACACCCAGTTATAAGGTTTGTTTATACCCTGCAAATACTTTTGTAATGTTCCACAAGTGGCATAATACGTAATTTCAGAATCTAGAAAGTCCATCTTATGTGGAACATATTTATAATCCGACTAAATGGTTGCGCATTAAAGAAAGCACCGAAATGAAAAATGTAAGTACAGTCCCGCTTAAACCTTTATGGTTCACAGTAGTGCCTTTCCTGATAACAAAACTTTTGAGCACTTGTTTAAGTATATGTTAATAAATTCATTGTGAAGAAATGAAATATAAAGGGGACCGTATACCTTAGCTACTTCATACTTTTCATACTCAGTATCGATTTTATTTTAGTAGTAAATCATCCAGGAAAGAAGCAAAAATCCAGGAAAGAAGCAAAATCAGTCTAGGAACAAATCACTGTTTTGTGTTTCAAAACAAAAACTTCAAGATATTAAATTTTGCACTCATACAACGATTTTTAAGAATGCATTACAATTAACTATTCTAGTTCCAAACTAACTGATTTAAATCAGATTTATTTGCATTGAAATAAAGAATAAAACTTTTCGAAATCAAAATTCACTATTTTACCCTAATATTTTTTGAAATTTCAAAACCCATAACAACTAAAAAATCTCATGATAAATAAAAAGAAATTTTTGATAAGGTGGTATGCTTCTTAAAATACTTCACCTCAGGAAGTTGGATTAGCGCAACTACAAGACTTGTTGAATCAAGGAACTGAAATACAGGTAGGAATAAAGGTAGACCTCACAGACGAATGTTATTCTTTCATGAATTACACAACTTCCCGGATGTGTTTCCGTATGTAACAAGTTTTCTATTGATTTCCTAGCCATCATCTGGAAACTACATTACGTAATCGGCAAACGTTCCAATCACTTCGTTAATCAGCCATTAATGGACAGTGCTACGGGAAATGCAATATTGCTTGAGTTATATTCATTACAGTTAAACTAAATCCGGTCTAAATCTTCTGAAAGAAAAAGAAAAGCTGTTAGCAATCAGTCAAAATTGTCATTTGGTTTATGTTTATTCAGATTATGAGCAGCTGCTTCCATTTTAACTGTAATTATTGTAGTACCAAAGTGTAAAATCATATCATAAGCTATTTTATCGTCTATTTGCTCATTTACTTTTTAATTAGCTAATAGTTAAGCGAGGAGAGAAAAAGAGAACAAGAGACTTTGACTTTTATCATTTATTAATTGGGGCATTAAAATGTGCCAAAAAAGACTTTTAAATTTAACAAAAACTTCCAAAATCTTCAATCTTGCTCGAAAAATTTCGCGTTTAGCTCGGAATCACATTATTTTGATCCTTTTTGCAAGTTTTGAGGAATATCTAGGTTTATAATTCAACTATGAGTGCTTTTATCATAATCACGTCACACTAGGGAAAGAGAAGAAGAAGAAAAGAAAAAGTAAAAGCGATATTCCACTGAAACATGAACTATAATATATTTGGGAAAAGGGTTGCTGAAGGATAATATGTTGTGTAAACATACTTCATTTGGAATATAGATGAATGAATGCATGAAAAAACGGAAAGTCAGAAAACACCTGTGGTATAGGGGTCAAATTCTTCTACATGTGTACGAAAACCCATATTAAAAAGTTAAAGTTAAAGATAACTTAAATTATTATGAATATAATAAGTAAATTAAATAAAAGACTAATACAGGTTAGAAGTTATCGATTAATGGGAAATTGAGCTTAATCGAGATGTGACATAAAAATTAGGAAATTGATTTGAGATAGAAATTCGAATATTATGAAATGCAGGTGTTGCTTTAATCTACTAACAGATTTTGACTGTGAAGTATAGTCATAGCAATAAATATGCAAATAATGGATCAAAACTTAAAGCAAATCTCTTATTACATTTAAAGCAACACTTGGAGATTAAATATTCAAAATACTATACGTAATCAATCAAAACCCAAAGAAACTAAAGTAAAGATAAATCTCAGAGCATAAATAGACCCGTAAATTGCCCTGGTGTGCAATTCAATCTTAATAATATTTTGAAAATTGCGTGGAAGAGATAGTCTCATTCGATTGTTTTGTTTTTCTAGACCGTTTGGTACTATAATCTACTGCCTTGATAAAAAGAAACAAATCTGAACTAATGAAAGTTTCATTTTAGTTTTTTTGAAAATTCTAAATTTAAAGGAAAATGATTTAGCAGATTAAGGCATAATGAGACTAACATATCGATATCTTTCTTCAGTTTCTTATTTTCTTCCGCCAATGACACCTGCAATATTTCATCGGTTATTTCACTTCCAATCCTTTTACGAGGTGGTGGTGTGGGAGTGCTGCATACTGTTTCCAACCTGAAATGCTGCTTGAGCATATGAAGCATAAATAATGCTTAATATGATTTTACAACTGAATGGTAAATTCTCATAGTCGTTGTCATCCAAATAAGAACCTAACTTTACTTACTCTAAAATATATTTCTAGGAATCAGAGAATCTTGAAACCTGGACAAGCTATCATCGGATTTCTTTAACCTTTCCCTAATATCCAATTCTTCCGATATTTGCTTGCCTTTTTTCACTTCTTGCTGCATCTCATCCATTTCCTTTCGCATTCTGGAATTTGAAGATGTATTAAATAGAAAGAACTTCTGAAACGTGCAAGTTTGTAAATATAGATCATTCGAGAAATGTTTCCTTTAATTATTAAATAAATACAAATGTTCATGAATTGTTCCCATTAGATACTGCATAGAATAACTGAGATCCTCTGAAAGTTAGCAAATGCTGCTTTAATGTTATTGCTATGCAATGCTATTGTCATTAAAAGATATGATGATGCACCGAATAATAGGACAGTCCTAATGCAGAATGAATCTTATACAACATGTAGAAACTTTTGCCTTCTTTTCTTTGCTTGTTAAATTAACCTTTCATTTTGGTTTAGTAATTCTTTGTTTTCATCCTTTACACTTTGCATTTCTCGATTCAGTATTTCCACTTGGTTGTTTGACTTTACTCTCCACTCCTCGTTACACTGTTGCAACCGTCTCTCGAAGTCCTCTGTAAGCTTCATCAATTCTTCTCGATTCTTCTCTCGCAATAATTTTTCCTCATTTTTGCAATGCTTTTTCAATAATCCTTCCAGTTGTTGGTCTTGCTTACTCAGTTCCTTATCCAACAGATTATGCTCCTTCAACAGTTCACCTGCCAGTTGAGCATTCTCTGCCATTAATTCGTTTAACTGAAATAATTAAATCAAAGATGAACTCTCTTCTTTTATATTCATAAACTGTGTGATAATTTCAGATAATTGTGAAAATTTCAACTTTTGCAGCAGTAGGTTGTACACCATTACACAAAATATCACAAACAGTCTATAATCCATAGAAAATAAGGCATGTATGAGTCGTTTTTATTTGAGGTTTTTTCACAGAATTAGGGACTTTTCACAACATTTAATGGTTCATAAAATGCTAACAATATCAAATTCTTTTATTAACTATTTCTTGAAAGTTATGGGAAAAAAGTATCCCGTGAAAAGAATCCATCATAACGACTTCTTATCTGTGTATAAAGAAAAAAAAAAATTTCCAAATCTATCTTCTGAACCTTGTTTTTTACATCCGGCGAATCCTCGTCTAACACATTTTTTGTCTTCAGTGTTTCAACTTCATTTCTGAGTTGTCCAATTTCATTTGAAAGATGCATTTTCTCGATACCTAAAACTGAATTAAAACATTAAAAATTCTATTAATATACGAGGAAGCTCGACCTTTTAAGATATCAAAAATTAAAGAAACATTCACCAATGTAACTAAATAAATCAGGAATGCAGGAAAATTCATCTCTTTCAAATTAGAATACAACCAAACAAATATCACTGTTCTGTAACGAACCTAAATCGATGATTCGTTTTCGTTCAACTTCTAGTTCATTTGTGAGCCTTTTAATGTCCTCAATAAATGTTTCATTTGTTTTAGTTAGTTTTTCAAGTTCTTTTTCCGCAGCTTGCGTAATTGCTTCGCTCTTACTGCACTCCATTTTCCAATTCTCCTAAAAAAGATTTTATAACAATCACAAACATTAAAGAACATCTGTCCCTTAAATAATAACTATCCTTCAGAAATATTAAATAACAAAAAAAAAAATAAATAAAAAAAATAAAAAATAACCTCAAGACCTGAAGGATTTTAAGATGTTTTTTTTTAGGGTTCATAGGTATGAATATCAATGTCAAAACAATTTCAACCTCTTGTTGTTGTCATAGGAAGAGAGGTACTCTCGGTTACAGGCAAATAAATCATTATCACAAAAATAAGGACAATATTATGCACTTCACAAGATACGACAGATTGAAAGTGTTTCTGAGCAGATATTAAAATCAAAAAGGCTTTGACCAGACCTCGATGGTCTGAATTTGTTCGCGTAAATCATGGAGTTCTTGTTGCCGGTCTCTTTCCAAATCTTCATTACTTTTAGTTTGAACTTTTAAACTTGCTAATTCCTGAGCTTGACGCTCACCTTCCGCTATCGCTTCATCTAGTTGCTGTCGAGTTACTTCTAGCTCCATCCGTTCACTGTAAAACAAAAAAACAAAACCACTCAGATCTAAGATTCCCATATTAACAAATAGTTAGAAGGAAAGATGTTTCATTTCTTTTGCCAAAGATATGAGATAACAGTAATTTTCCTACTTCGATCTCAACAAATTTAGTTAAAAATTTTAAATCGGAAATGACGTATGACACAGAAAGAGTTAGCGACAGCGAAGCGGAAGGTAAAGCTCTGAAATTTAGTTCTGATTTAAACTTTAAATTTTCCGGAAATTATTCTTAAAACAACAAGCTCTGTAAAATTAGGCGAATTGAAAGAATGAGCATGGCAACACGAAAAGTATGATGATGCCAGCAATTAAATAAATAAAGTACGACAAGCACCACTTACACTGATTATAGACAGTAAAGTAACATTTAAATGAAGAGAGAAAAGTTATTCAGTCTAACTGCTTTTTAATTTTGGTAAAGCATATCTGAAGAAAAGGTTACAGCTTCATGAATTCTGCGAAATCTTAATGAGCCCAAAGCTTTAAGTGATAATACAGAAATACAAATTGGTAAACGTAATAAATACATCCCACGTTATGATAAAACGCTATTAAAATAGCATTATCAATGTAGTTGATGATAAGCGAGTAGTAAAATAGCAGTAAGCTAAGATAGAAAGCATGTTACAGCACAGAGTACAGTGCACCTTTTGTGCGACAAAAACATTTCGGATAAGAAAAAGTAACACAAGAAAAATATCTCGAATTTCTTGTAAATTAAAATTGTGAACGACTAAGAATGGATGAGTAATTTCCCATCCAAATAATGAATTGCAAAAGGAAAATTATTATAATTACCACGACAGCCGTTCCATTTCTTTCAATCGTTCGAGTGCCTCAGTTTTCAGTTGCTCTTTCTCCGTATTAGCGATATTTAAGAAATTTCGTAAATAGTTCACTTCCTTTGACAAATTTTCAGACTGCTCTCGCAATCGATCCATTTCTACTCTCGATAATTCACAGGCCTGATGAGCTTTATCCAATTGTTGATTAAGATCTTTCACTTTCTCAGCATGCTTCCTATTATTTTCATTTTCCATTTCGACAAACTGCTCTTTTAATTTCGTCAGCTTCACTTTCAGTGAAGAGCATTCATCGAGAAGATTTTTATTTTCAAACTCAATGACTCTATTTCGTTCTTCCAGACGACTGCTTTCTTGAAGACGTGTTTTGCAAGACCTCATATCGCTTGTTAAATTTTCAATATCTTTCTTCAAACTAGTAATGTCCAAGTCTCTTTCTTCTATTTCTCGTTTATACTGTTCTCGGCATTCCTGAACACTCATTAATTCTGTCCTCAATTTTTCAATCTGTTCCTCAAATGGATCTAAACGTCCCTCGGTTTCAAGTTTGTCGCTTTTTACATCTTTTTCTGTTTCTTTAATTGAATCCAAAACCTCCTTATTTTCCTGAACGGTTGCTTGAAGCACTTGGATACGTTTCTGAAGGCACTTTCTGTCCATTTCTTCGTCCTTCATTTGTTTTTTCAGAAAAGCTAACTCTGCTCTTAAACCCCAAACTTCACTACTGGATTTTGACTTCCAAATTTGTTCATTCGTTTCACCACAACTTCTGCTTGTACAATTACAATCGTTTAATTTTATCAGTACAGCATCTTTATCTCTATGCTTTACAGCTTCTTCTTCATCATCATTATTTACAGAAATGATATGTCTTCCCTCTTCTATTTCCGTCTTTGTTTGAGTAGCCTTATTGACCAACACTAACTGGTAATCGCTTTGTTCGAACAACAATTTTTCCTCAAGTACATCAGCTATACATTCCTTTAAAGTAGCCAATTTTTCCTCGAAATCAGATCTTGGACTCAAATCAAGATTTTGTGTTTTACTGTTTTGAAATTCATCATGTTGGTCAATTCTGAAAGATGCAACACTGCCACCCTTGACAACTAATTCCTTCCTCAGATTCGTCATTACAGCATTGAGCTATAAAGTAACAAAATTATGCATTAATAATACAGTTCCAAAATAACTCTGAAAATAAAAAACTCATATATACAAACAAAAGACCACTGCATTTATATTAACAAACATTTTACAAATTCATTAATAACAATTGAATATATATATAAATTGCAAGTCTGTACGACTTAAAAAGAATCGATTAAAAAGAAATGAAAAAAATTGGAATGATTAGAAATTTTGGAAATAAAGAAGTTAACTTTTCATATCCTGCACTAACTTCTTCATATTCTTTATGGAACCTAAACATCTTTCAATTCCTTTCCCTCATTTCACTTAAAGTTCACATTTGAAGCTCTGTAATTATGATTACGAGATTTTTATAAATATTAGCTTACTTTGTTAATTTTTCCGCTTTCAGAAGTTTTTAGTTCTCCAACTTCTTTATTTAGTTCAGCAATCTTCTGTTCATATTGTTGCTTAGTTTCAATCAATATTTTCTGATGTTTCGATTCCAAATCACTTTGTGCTGATGCGAACATTCTTTCCTGCAAAGTAAAAAGTGACGTTTATTTCTCGTCCTGAATTTCTCATTCAAACCGTCAAACGATTTGATTTTGTTGCATATTTCGCTAAGTTCAATCGATTTTCTTCAAATCCCGTTGTTATAAAAATTTTGTGCTGTTTTTCTACTTTTTTTTTCTGGTTAATGATAATGCATTATAGAAAAAATAGAAAAAATGAATAAAAAATATGAAAAAGTTCCCACTGTACTTCAACCATCCATTCCTTACTAAGAATTAGGTATAACAATGACACTTTTTTGAAATAAAGTAAAGCCAACACATATGTCGTTTCTGAGTCTGTAATTTAATAAGTTTATCATTACCTTTTCAATAACTTGTTCTTCAAGTTTCGAAATTTCATTCCTAAGTTCCATCAAAATGACATCATTCTTTTGCTGTTGAACAACGCTGTCATTCTAGAAACAGAAAATAATTCAAGCACTACGTAATTCATTTAATGGAAGAATGATTTTTTCAAAGGTGACATGAAATGAAGCTTCAAATTTCAATTCAAATAATCACAGTTTCTGACTCTGGATTCTTGGAAACCCTTAAATTTGGATACTTTATAAAATAATATGCTCTAAATAATTGTTTCTTCGGTGATCCTTCTTAAGGTACATTTTTTTAGTCGTTTTTTATTTTTATGTATTAGTGACAGTTTTTATTCCAAAATAAATAAAATTAAAATAATAAAATCTTAAGTGAATTTATTATTTACCTTACATTTTTCCATTTCTTTCCTCATTTCATCGCACTCAGATCGAGCCAATTGAGCATCTTGTTGCAATGCCTGAGTTTGTACATCAATATCCATCAACAAACGTTCATTTTCTTCACGTAACTCACGTAATTCCTTTCGCAGTTTTGCGATTTCATCATGCTTCATACTAAACTTACTTAAATTGTTATGTGTATTTTAATCAACAATAGAAAATTTGTTACAATGTTCCTTCCTATATTATTATAAAATATAATATCAAGTTAATCACACTGCAACCTTATAAATCCTTCCTTCAGATCAATCCGAAACTTTCAATTTAAGCCTAGAGCTTTACCCAAAATCCGACATGGACCTAAAAATTCGAGTATTTCAAAACTGAGGACAAACCTAATCTCATCGCGAGCTGACTGGAGTGAGGTAGCTAATGTGAGCACTTCATCTTCTAAGCTTGCTTTCGCCGACAGTTTCTCATTTTCAGCTTTGAATGTTTCTAGAAGTGCACTGGTATCAGCGAAAGCAGTGCGAACTTCTTCTAGCTCCTTCGTCAGCATTTTACACTTCTTTTCGTATTTCTCACTGAATTCAGAAATACGATGATATAAATAGAGATCGAAGAAAATTTTTGTTTCTTAATAATTCAGTAAAAACAGTGTTACTTTACTTAGCAGGCAAAGTTCACTTTAAAAATAAATTTCTTTTACCTATTTTCCTGATTCCTCATCAGTTCCTGCTCAGTCACTAACAGACGTTTGCTTTGTTTTTCTTCATCAATTTCCAGAATTTTTAATTTTTCTTGGAGAGAACGAACTTCCTCTTCGAGTTCATCAATAGTTTCTCGAGAGGAACGATCCGCTTCCTGAAAACAAGTTTTGAACAATAAATGATTTGTTAACATTCTATTACCTATAACTATTACTTCAATTTACATAACATATCTCGTCTTATTCAGTTCAATCTTCAAGTGTGCAGGTTAAGTCAGTGACAGATACAGGACAGATTTAATTTATACCGCTAATCTACCCACATCAGCATCTATTTCAGCTTTTTCTAGATCTGCAGCCTGAGCGGATATTTTATTCCTTGCTTGCTTTAATTCTTCTCGCAATAACCGCACCTGAAACGAAGTTGTTCTTATGCACTTCATCTGAACTAACTGATTATGGAGAAGTCCGGTTGAGATCATAACAAAAAGTTTTAAAGAGTCAAGAAAAAGTATAAACGAAATAAAGCAAATTCTTATTGCAATAGAATGATTGAAATATTATAGAACTAATTTAGTCCTAAAATTACCTGCTCATCAACACTACGTTGTTTATCAGTTTGTATCCTCAGAACGTTTAATTCCTCTTCTAGATCAATGATTTTCAACCGACAACTTTTTGCTTCGTTTTCTGCTTCCTGTGTTCGCATTTCTTCCATTTTTAAACTCTGCTTCAAATCCTAAAATGAAAGACAAAGAACTCAACTTCCTTAAATTTCTTCTTAGTATCTGCTAAAGTAATTTGTGTGTTCATTATTCACTGCCTGACAAATACCTTTACATACATGAATTAAGAAAATTAATTGTTCCCATTTAGGAAATGAAAAAATCTAATAAAACTTTGCTCATTATTCGAATATAAAAAATAGATTTCCTCAGATACTTCCTTATTATGTGATACAGTGCATATTAATTTGAAAGAACAGTTCAAATATGTTAGATCAAAAGTGCAATAGTTCCATTCCTAAACAATATATAAAACAAGCATAAAGGCACTTGCAGATAAGATAAAATTTATTCGTAAAATTTAACAAATAAAGAAACCAACATTATGTTTTATTTCTTGCTGTTTTATTTCTTCTTCAAATTTCCTTCTAGCATCTGCCAAAGCATTATTTCCCCATGTGATTTTTGCTTCGGTATCTTTTTTCAAAGCATCATACCTAAGTTAAGCAGTTAGTAAGTAAAAACATCACATATAAGATAGAAGAATTAGATCATTGTGCAAAATTGTATTTTAATTTGTCAGATAAAGCTTTCAGTTTACATTGATATTACTCCGTAGAACCAGTGAGATCAAGAGTGAAACGAATGATTCAGAATTGTCATATACTATCAGCAATATTTTATATGATTTTGAAAAAGAAATATGAATTTATTTATGTTGTTATCACTATTACTAGAATGATTATATTCGATTAGACTTTACTAAGACCTTCATGTAGCGAATAACCATCTTTAGATCTTTCAAGAATGGAAATGTTTCGAAAAGTTCAATAATGTCAATAACAACAAGTTAACAAAGTGATTGACAAAAGAGCATGAGAAGATTTATCCACAATTTCCAACTCCAATTTCAAATTTAGGATTGACATGTGAGGAATCAAAACAATATTAGGCAGTATATACCAAAAATAATCCCTTGCCTTGTCTCTTCTACATTACATCCGTTTCATTCTTTTTTGTTCATACCTCACTAAATCTCAGACTAACAATAGTTATGCCAATTCTCAATTTTATAATAGAAAAACAAACTAACAGGTATCAAACTCCCACACAACGGAAGAAAATATTTTTTGAGAGATTAAATATAGGAAAGAATTTCAGCAGCGTTGTAAGCAATACCTTACAGTAAATGAATTTATTATTAAAATATTCAAAACGTACTTTTCCTCACATTCTACCAAATTTTTTTGGCTTTCTTCCAGTCTTTCATTTAATTTCTCCGCATCTAATTTATATTTCTCTATGTCCTCCCGAAGCTGTGATATTTCATGTACTTCCTGAAATTCCCTATTTTAAAATGAAAATCCCTTCTCTCCATAATTTCACTAATTTTCATGAAATTTTCCAAAGCAAATAGACCTTAAAAAGCAAATTTTGCTAGAGCGCACGCTAAAAGAATAATTCCAGTTTTTTACGGAGCTGAATCAAGCTGAAAACGTTAAGTCATAAACTTTACAACTTAGCAGCTGCAGTTTAGACTACAGATTGAAATTTGCTTACATTGTTTCGCATGGATGATAATTCAACTTCTCTCTTCTGCATAGTTTCTAGTGCAGAATCGAGTTCACTCTGCAACTTTCCAATTTCCTAAATTTTAGGAGATTCCAGTATAACCTTGAACTTTCAAAAAAATTAAGTTTTCAGGTTATAAGCGCTTTAAGAAAACTGTTAAACTAAAATGACGCACTCGAAAATTTAAAAGAAACTGAAGAAATTATAAATTAATAAGCAATAAAAGAAATTACATCACTCTGTTTGGACAATTCCGCTTCCTTCTTTTTTGTATTTTCTCGCATGAAATCCAACTCGCTTTGAAGATTTCTAAGTTTCTAAATCAAATGGAATAGTGCAACAAAAAAATTTTTTAATATTTTTATAAATACCTTAAAACATGCATTTTATGATCTAAAGGGAAAATGATTCTGATGAAAAAAAAAAGAAAAACTGAGCTAAATTAATATTAGTAGACTGCAGTGCTTTACATAGTCAGAGAAATTTTAATTTTAATGAGGTTAGATTTTCAAGAAAGTTGATATATCTTTCAAGAGAGCTGATATTCCCTTTAGCTGGAATTACTTTACAAAAGTAATTTATCGTTCTATTACAGAAATTTCACGAAGTACAGCTTACTTCTCCACTCTCTGATTTCACTTCCTCAATTTCGGAAACGCGTCCCTTAATCTCATTTCGGATCTCATCAATTTGACCTCTTAATTCCTCATTTTCCGCTGTTAACTGAGTTATCATTGCTGAGTCTGCTTCATTCGTCTTAATATCCTAGAAAGATCACACTGAAATTAAGAAAGAAGGGAATCGAAATATGAAACAGATATTATTAGAAATGAGAACTTAATTACCTGCTTAGCAAGCATTAAGCTTTGCAATGCAGCTGATTTCATCTGTAAATCACGCTGCAACTCTTCAATGCTACTTTTTAGTTGGACCTTTTCATTATTCATTATCAAACGAAGTCTTTTTGACTCATCTTGAGCATTTTCTACTTCCTGATTTTTGCATCGCACTTCTTCTTGCAAATTGTGCACGTCTGTATTAAGCTGTGATTGAACAGCCTGAAAATCTTAGTGATATGATATGCAGCAACCGCAACATTATTATTGAATTGATAGTGTTGCAGCTATTTCTGAACACTTCAATAGGAAAGAAAATGATTATCTAATTTCATTTTTGATTAGAAAATATTTTTTGCTATTAATATCAATGCTTTATCAAACCTAATGCGTTCATTAACAACTTTCTACTTTCCTGGAAAAGAAAAAAACACACAAAACGTGAATTAAAACTAACTAAAATATCGGTGATTTGTTTCTTTAACTTTTCATTCTCATCTTTCAGCACAATGCATTCTTGTTGGTCTGAAGTAACGCGATTTGCATCTGCTAATTGTGCTATTAAACTGTTAATCTAAAATTAAGATAATGAAATTTGCGATTATGATTGGCTTTCAAACTCTAAATTGAATTTTCGTCCTTCTTCTCTTATACTTAATACTCAACATAATTTTTTTGAATGGATTTGAAATGGCTTAAAAATATCGTCGATTATCTATAATACTTTGAAAATGAATCATTAATTCATCTTTGAAAGATTACCTGCTATGGTTAAATGGTTGAAAACAAAACAAAAAATGCATCTACAGAGGGCACTTTTTTCGTTCAAGGACAAGTAAACTTATTCGTAGAAAAAAAGAAATTTATGAAAAAAGACTACAAAATGAAACCTGCATGAAAAGTTCTTGTTTTTCAGCCTGTTCCCGATCCAGCTGCATGGTTAGCTCCCGTTTTTGGCCTTGTAACATCTGGACATCCATTGGTTGCTTTGCTTCCAACGCACGCTTCTGATTTTCCCATTGTTGTCTGGAATATTAAAGTCCAACTTAGTTTGATAATAGCATCATAAGCACAGACACATAAACTTTCATCTTATGTTACTAAAACTTTATTTCTAATAATCGAATAGTATCATAGAAATCGGTCATCCCACTAATTGTCACTTGAATCACTGCACTCGAAATGAGTTTTCGAAAATGGCTGGAAAGTTCAATCCACAGAAACCAGCCTAATAAATCCATGTAAGATCCTTCATTTGTCATGTAACCGAAAAGCTTTTGGTAGTTTGTTTTTTTTTTTTTTTTACAAGATAACAGCAGTTATATTGTGATATTAATTAGGAATAATAACAGTGCTATACACTGCCTTCTCGATTTTAATAGGTATAAATTCTACCAATTACAGATGAGATGAGATGATCATTTTTGTGATGTCACTAATTTAAGTATTATCTAAGCTGAGAAAATTTGTAAACTGAATTCATATACTGAAAAAGAAACAAATAGTTACCTGTCTCTCTCGAACTTTTCCACCTTCTTTTTCAATGAATCGCATTCCGAAGTACGCTCTTTCAGAGCTTTCTGCAAATTGAAAATTTGTGATGAAAATAGCTTCAAATGCTATTTTATAAATGTTCTTAACAAAGTATCAACATATGTCGTAATGGATATCTCAAGAAATATTACTAGTAATCATACTTGAACTAAACTAGGGGAAATATTACCAAATACTGTCGATTCATTCCCTCAGTGTCAGTAAGATTTTAAAATCAAGGTGAGAACCGGCTGCATACAAAGATACTTCCAACTGAATACTCATCGTATCAAGCGAAATAAGTAATTAATCATTAAGCAATTTTAATTTAATTTCGTTCAGATCTTAATTAAATAATTAAGTACTCCTTTCTATCTTATCATCCTTTTATTGTTTGAAAAAAAAAAATCAGATACATTAGTTCCTATTAACTGCACACTTTTTAACTGTGTGAGTTGTCGCTATACATGCCGTGACAGCTTTTTTTGCATGCAAGCTATATTTTCAGTCATAATGGAAAGATTTAAAAAGTTCAAAATGAATTCAGTCGTTAATTTAATAATTTGTTATTCATTTTCGATATAGGAATAAGTCATTATTATCTCCTTCATTTAGTTAATAAAAAATCTTTGAGAAAATTTCTATAACTTTGCATTTTCATCTAACTTCTCTTCCTGCACATGTTAAAAGGGGTAAATTTCAATCAGTCTGATCTGCAGAGTAAGCATATTTGCACACTGCAGATATGCACATCAAAGATTTTATTTGTGTGGTAAATTTAATTTCAATGATTCAATATATCAAATCTATGACTGCATAATCTATTTTAGTAAATGACAACCTCTAATATCTAATATGAAAGTAATGCTTGAATAGTCTGATAATTTCATTACTGAATATTCTATCCAATTTTGCAAATATGATTATCACAATGAAGTGTAAACTGAAACTTATCGTCTTATCAACAATGTTTACTAACCATTATTTACACAAATAACGGTCAATCTCAGTGAAGGCATACAATTCTCAATCATACATAATTTGTCACTTCCTTTCATTAATGTTTGTCTTTCCCTTTCCATGTAACTTTTTCATAAGCAGATGAAGTTAAACATTTCTTAGAGCAGGTGTAGATGAGATGAATTATGAAGCGATATCTCTATCGATGATAAATCTGAATAAACATGCTTATAACTTTTTAAATTTACTTTGTTGAAGTTCAGAAGGTAATCTGTTATTACCTGTAATAATTCAACATTAGTTGCATTCATTCCAAAATATTTCCTGTTGAGACAGCTTTTTATTTACACATCGATAAAATAAGAATCGTTCGCATCATGTATAAAACTTTTAGTACTGCGATGGACAAATTATTTGACGTGTTAAAAAAGCACAGAGATGAAAGCGTCTGATCGTACGTTAAAAGCTCAGCAGAAGATTTAGGATGGTTGGTTTAATCCTAAATTAAAATTAAACAAAATATTTAACGAATTTATACCATAAATATCTCAATATATTCGAAATTGACCGATAAAATCTGAATTCTGACACGAAATAATAACTGTACATTAGAGCAGATTATAAATTGATTTATAATTAATAATAAAAGTGAGTAAACCATTTAGTGGACAAGTTTTAATTATATGCAAAACTATTTCCTTCTCCTGCATTCTTCTTTTTTTTCTTAATGATTGTCTGTATTCCACAAATAATTTAAAAAGGAATTTAAATCAAAGAGTGATGAAGATTTCTTGGAATCTCAGTATTACCGACCCTAAAATTTATATTGATCTCATGGAAGACTCAAAGAGAAAGGAAAATGATAACTGAGAAAGCAACAAAATGGTACAATGAAAGATTTCAAAGTATTTTCGGAGATGATCACATGCATAAAGCAAAAGGAAGTTAATCAATTCATCCGTACCATTTCTAGAAAGGATCAAATATACACAAGCAGATATCTCACAGTAATTCAGAAACAGTAATCGAAGTTTACATGAAAAACTAATGAAGTCACATTTGATTATCATTATTCTAGAAAGTAAAAGAGAAGAGCAATATAAGCAATTGTAGGATTTTCTTAATTATTCATCTGAAAGCCTTATTCATTTGCTATATTGAAATTAGATATTCTCCCAATTAATTTTTTGGAAAAAAAGACCACCAAAGAGGTTCAAAAAATTTGAATGTTTGGTAATTTTGCTTAAAATATTTTAAAGCAGTCTTAAAATTTGACAAAATTTACATAAAATACATATAACAAATAAACAATTCAATTCTACAACTATTTGTGATGATTTCTGACAAGTGGGATGTAATAATACAACAATGAAAGATATAATATATGAAATTTTCGCCACTCTTAAAATATTTGCCAGAATTGGACTTCACAAATCGATCATTTCTCCTAATAGTGATGCATTCTAATATCGGATTTTTAACCATAGAGTAGACAGTATAATACCATTCATTTACAATCTGTACAATTCTGAGGAAAGAAAAGCTCAATTGAAAAATTTCATTTTCATTGATACTTAGAACTTAATATTAATAATACTAATGCATCTAAGTTATCAGAGAAAATTATGTAAATATTACAGATGTGAAGATTGGAGGAAAGTAAGAAATAATGCAGCAATAATAGCTTCTCACTACCCAATGTCATTCGTTATGGTCGAGGCGATATTTAAGATACGCGATGCTGCTGTCGTACTAACGACAAAAACTAGAAAACAAGTTTTGCAAATGGCACTTCGTCCTCTCTTCCAAATCGTCACCAATCGCTTGCTGTCACATTCTTTCTTATGTAATATATAGTTAAGCTAAACAGCTGTACACAATGCTATCAATGTTAACGAACTTGGATAATGCTTTAGCTAATAGATATTACGGATCTTTAGTACATTACGTAATGACATAACAAAGAACCGTAAGATTTTTACTTGTTCCACTTTGCTTAAGATACTTTGAAATAGAAAACTTTTCCAGTTCATATTTCATACCAGTTCGTAAGTATATCTATGATTCTTGATAGAAGTTAATGGTTCACCAAGCATTAAAATCTTAGGATAATATCTTAGCTAATAGATTTTCTTTCTTGAACAAAATTTGATTACTTTTTCTGTAATAGAAATCTTAGCAAACTTAGAGCTCTCTGATAATCCGAATGGTTTAATTCGACATTCGACCTGAGATATTTGTACCGAAGTTAGGATTTAAAGCTATTAGGACGATGTTGATTGTTTTTTTAAGCGATTTGTGAAATATACAAAAAGCAGAAATCTTGCCAGAAACTCTAACAACATTGGACAATTCTTCAGTACTTTTTTCTACTAAATTTATTAATATGAAGAGTAAATTCCTAAAAAAAAAAAAAAAAGAGAAAAAAACCATAGATATATATTATAATCTCAAAAGTACCAAATTTTCGACCTTTCAAGCGTCCTCCAAACCACTACACATTCTTAACAATGTTTTTTTTCTAAAAAATTTCAGATTTAATTTACTGACAAAATGATGTGAATTGGCAAAGACTCAGAAAGGAAAAAATTTAGTTTAAGTGGAAAGAATAATTACGGTAATGATGACTAATGGTTAATTATTAGGTATCTGCCAGTGCGTTGACGTTTAAATTTTTGAGAATTAATATATGTCTAAACTTTCAATAATTTTTTTCCGTAATGTACTTTCAACTTGTCGATTTTCATTAATGAAGAGAAAAAAACTATGGAAAAGTTGTCAATCTTATTGTAAACGAACTAATATTTTCGTGATCGAAGCTCAGAGATTGGTAATCGTAATAGAAATAAATTAATTTAAATGCGTAAATGCTGGTTTTAGCAATTTATTTAATGCTGGAAAAAACAGATAAAATTCATCTGGAAATCTGAAAAATAAAGAAATGTTTCAAAAATTTTCTAGACAAACTAGAACTTTACAGATTAACGTATTTGTGTTGAAGCATATTATTATCACATTATCTCTTAAATGATGAAATTAACAACTCAGTGACGATTTTAAAACAATAAAAGTAACAAGTTGTGTTTTAAAGTAAATTTCCCATTGAACTCTTAACATATATTTTCAAACTATTTTCCAAAATGATGAAAATAATGAACGAAAACAAAACGATGTCAATTTGTTAGCACCAGCGGGAAAAATGGAAATATTTTTTCTGCTTCCTGATTGACGAGCAGAATGATTTGATAGTGATGATGAATCAACAAATTAAACATTAAGCATTCGAAGAGACGAATGGAGAACTGAAGAAGGAAGAAGAATGAGAAAAATCAAGCAAGAATACAATCGATTATAATGCACTTAACGAGTCGTCATATAACAAGAATAGAAGGAACTATCGCTAACAGAAAAATAAAACAAATTTTATCAGAAGATAAATGATGATGATGATGATGATAAGGTAATGAGATAATGGTGATGATACGATGATAACAATATAATACTACAATTTTGTCGTCGAAAGCAATCGTTGAGGGGAATAAAGTATTGATATTTCTTATTCTATTCTCTTTTAACGATTAAACATGTTCAATTATCAATCATAATAATATATAACAATAATGATAAAGATATCATTGTATTATTTGCTATAGCACCTAGGAAATTTTTTCCGTATACAAAGATGATCAAAGACGAAATAATTTTGATCAAATTAAACAAATTAATTCTTCTCTGGTGTCCATGATGGTAATAATAACTGCAGTAATTATAAAATGATTGTAGTAATCATGATAATAATTGCAGTAATCACAACAATCACTGCATTGGTATTCAATTAAACAAACGAAGAATAAAAAGGATGCAATGATCTGAACTTATTATGCATGCAATGATCTGAAACTCAGAAAAGGAAACAAAGGATATTTCTATGACAAAGGAAAAAGTTTGCAGAAATTCAAATATGGCATCTCAAATATAAAAACATCATAAAACTTCCAAATATAAGCAATATTTAAAATATTCCACAATATGCTAATGATATCACAAGAAGTTTATGTGTCTCCAAATGTACCTTTCGACATGCTTTTTCAATTTCCATAAGTTATTTGAAATGATCGCTTTTGTCTTGCAGTTAAAGCTTAATAACATGAACTGAATCAATCAAAACTAGTAATCTTGATGACTGACAATAAGAGGTATTATTATTTCGTTTAAGGTCCTATTCAACACTTTAATACCGCTTTTTAGTCTAAAGTCCCAAAAATTAATGTTATACAAACTTTTTGAAATTCAACAATGAAATACTCAAACACACGTAAAAATGACGATATATCACGTTTACTGGAATCAGTACGAATGTGAGTATAGCAAGGTACTAAGCATCTTCTCCACTAGAGCATAACTTAGACAAGTACAAGAAAGTAAGTTATGATTATAGTTTAGATAATAACAGTATCCTACTCAACCTTTTTCCTTTATGGAAGATAGATAATTCTTTCAATGCGATTACAAGTATTAGATCAGATAATTGTCAAATTTTTATCTAATAAACAATTTTGTTTTATTTTTATTACTTTGTTATTACTTTCAAGCTATTTAATTATTTAGTTTTAAGTGATGTGGAAAATTAGTATAAACTAAGTAATACAGAATGAATGCCATACAACTTACTATTTTACTTTTCATCCACCATTTATTAAATGAATGTGAAAGATCTTCTCTCCTTAAAACATGAAATAATTTGAAATATTTCCATAAAATAGAAAATGAAAGCATAAACAAGCTAATTAATGCTTCCCATCTAATTTTAAAAACTCAAATATTTTCTCTTTGATTAATCATTAAGCAGAAAATGCAATCCAATAAATGGGATTTCTTTTTAATAATTGATGAAGTTAAAATGCTTAAAAATAAACCATTAAAGGTAGTTTAAGCTATTCATTCCTTTCTAACTGAAGTTTTTTTTTTAGGATATATCAAGAGATAACTATTAATTTAGATATAACCAAATATGCATCACGGGAATTCTATACATCCAGTAAGTTCTTGCTCTTCTTTCTCTTTCTCTAAAATTAGACTAAATCTTCACTGACTAAAACATTTTACTTTCTCAGATTCCTTTCAAGAAAAGAAATGTTTTTTCTCAACATATATCGATCTATAATTAATATTGAGAGTTAAAGAAAAAATACTCTCAACAACCTTATTTTTTTTCCATATAAATGTTCAATTATAATTGTTGAAAATATTCAAGGATTATATAATATCACTTTTCCTAGACACATAAAATTTCAGCTAGTTGAGGAGGTTCTCGCAAATGCTCTCACAATGGTTAATCAATCTGTAGCAGATGAAATGGTTTGCTCCTAGAACTCTTTGAATACAGAGAATTATTTATATAATTATTCATTTATCTAATAAGATCTTCGTTAATGAGCAAAGGAAAAGTCAACGACATATGTTCGTTGTGTAGGAAAGATCTCACTCGATGAATGTAAACAGTAGAAAATAATATAAATGTAGAAATAAGAAGTAACAAAATTAGCTGAAAATTTCGCTTTCTTAATAGTTTGAATAATATTTGTATCACTAACGTTACGCTAATGTTACGTACGTTATTTATAACATCAGCCAATGCTATACATATTACATTATATCACTAACATTACATACGTCTGATTAATCTAAGTGATACTTTTTTTGATAGCTAACAAAATCACGATTAAAACTAGCAAAAAATGTATGATTACATTAGAATCAGATAAATGCGGTGACGCAGATCAGTAATCAGATGAAGAAAGAAGGTGACATGAAGAAATCGATTTTGCAGAACAATGAAAATGATACGGAAGAGAGAAGCTCGTTTAACGACCTGCAACAAGCACGATGTCACTGGATACAACTTGATAAACTTGACTTACAAGTAATTGTTACGTTTATCACTTTCTGCTTTAAAATATCTCAATCCTCAAAACTTTAATTACGCTACCTGTTCAACTACTAGTGTGACTAAAATTAGTAGATTCTTTTGATATTAATATGACTGCACCGTTCCAAATTTGTTTCTAATCTAAATCATTTCGCTGCATCTAATAATGGAATAAAATTTGTTAGCAATCTAAAACGTTAAAGTTTCACTTTTATAGCTTAAAGTAATTCAGTCAACAATTGCATATGTAATCGAAAATTTTGAATCAATGCGATTACTTTGGAGCTTTGGAAAAAATTATGAAAAAGAGAAACTGTACAATGATCAAAGATTTCAGTTAGTTTTGTTAATTATCATTATAAAGAAAGATTCTAGATGGATGCAAATTAATCTTCTTTGCCCTGTGCTACTTTCCAGACATATACTAATGGTATTTTTCAGCGATTATTGCACCTGTTTCCAAACAGCACTGAAAATGATCATGGAATTTGTGGATGAGCCACGTGATATGTGCAAATTGATCCGTAATATCGGAGCTCGGCATTTCTTCTACAACGTCTACGAACCACATACTGAGGAAATGCTCGAATTGCTAATTAGATAAGATTATCAACGTTAGGAAATGTATGAAATGATAATTAGCAGAATGAAAGGATGCAACTTTAGCTACAGAAAGTGAAAAAAAAAAAAAGAACAATCATAAAGGTTGCTATATCAATGAACGTTACTGTAAGATCCGGAAGATAGGATCGCAATTTCATCCTGAATGATTTGAAGAGTTCAATAACTAAACCAGCAGTGTTGTGTTTATTTGAGTTAAAAATTGATAAAGCCATAAATATTACTATACTGAATGTAATTTTTCTCTTTGTTGGGATTCTCATTTCATTTCATAATGAACTTAAAAAAGAATTTATCTTGTAGTTTCCATATGAGATACGTTATGATTTAGCACATTAGACATTTTTCTAGATAAAGTTTTTTTTTTTTTCTTTCATTTTGCAAACTTATGAATTCTTCCCCTGAGTGACCTCATTATAGGCAATGTGTAAATCGATGATGACCGCTTTATGTGAAGTAGCCACAGATGATATGAATGAGAAACAAATGCAGTGTTGGCATGCGGCAAGTCACTATGAAAAATTAATCTCACCCAAGTTTATGTAAAAATAATTTAACAGTAATGATGATAAATTAACATTCTGTTCCAAAATTTTAATTGTAACCTCGTATAGAACATAAACATATCATTCACTTTTTTATCTACCTTACAACATTTGAAAATATCAAAAAACTAGACATCACAGCTATCACTGGAATTATAATTCTAGAATTATAAAATTCAATGACTACTAAATGATACAAAGTATTTAGCTGTTCCAGCTGTTTGCCTTTTTTGGTGGAAAAAATTCATATTAAAAAAGAAATTTTAATAGTGCACATGAAATATTATTATTTTTAGTTCTTCGATGAAATTCAAACAGCTTTCAACGATGGACTTGCAAATCAACGACAAAATTATCTTCAGAAATGCATGTCAAAAAAAGAAATGAAAATTTTAAAAACTATCTGGCGACAAATCCAAACCAAATATATGAAGGAAGATGGAAATCTAACAAAGTGTAATGCTTTGGTTAGTACTGATCTCTAAGTACAATTAGGCTAATAATGGAAAAATAAATCAAAGAAGTCTCCCATATAAAAAGATAATTTAAATATTTCAAAATTGTCAAGTTTCTTTCTCTGTTTCACCCTATTTGCTGTGGTAAGAAGTGGAACTTTAAGGAGAACCTAGAATTTAATAAAATGTAATTATAGATGTACGAAGCACTCCAATATCACTGTGAAAAGATACCTAAAACAAAGAAGTATATAAGAAAACTAAAAGAAATTGCCCATCAGAGCATTGATGTAAGTTTGACTAATAAAATATAGGAGATTAACTATAGAACTTTAAACAATCAACGTTTCAAAAATATTTTATAATCGACAGTAACAAGTAATATTAATAAATAGGCCTACCAGATTTTACAACTTCATTGTTTTGAAAAATTTTTTTTATTATAACGATTTAATAGTATATGCAGGCAGTGGACAAAATAATAGATGCATATGATAGCACCTGTGGATTAGCAGAATTGAATGACCGATTCGATTCTTACTGTTACCTGTGCTGTACTTTAGGTGAAAGTCCACGAACCCTTTGGATTGCCTTTAATACAGGTAAATTCATTTGGTTTAAAAAGTTTTATCTCAAAATTTAAATTTTATTTTGTCTATTGTCAGCTTGAAAGTTTGAAAAAATTAATATATATTTTTTTAGTATAAAAAACACATAATTATTTCTGAAAAGACATGTCATCATTTCCATACTATCAATCAACTCGACAAGAGCTTCAAACACTACTTGTTTTGAAAAAAAAATTCCTTGTTACATTATTACTTATGGGAATGATGAAAAAATATTAACCTATAACAACTAGCCCTATTCTTCACTATTGACAAGATATTGAAGATAATTTCGACTAACAAATTATCTTGAAAACTCGATTTTGCAGAATTTTCAATTCGAAAAAAATTTTAAGCATAACCTCGAAAATTTTGAAAATTTCATAAGCTTTATGATCAGCCAAATTCTATCTCGACTGTATTTTAGGTTTTGCAAATATCATTACTACCAAAGTAAATGAAGATAGAATTTGGGTAAAACAAATATGGTGCAAGATTGCCCGCATCTTAGAACAGGTGTAGTTTGAATGTAATCGAATAAAAGAAACAATTTTTTCTTGCTCGTTAAATGATTAATTTCAGTTTTTTTTTTAAATTTTTTTCTAAAATCTTTTTTTAGATTTAAAAAAAAAATTTTTTTTTTCAATTAGATCTTTACTTCGCAATACAAACATTCCGGTTGAATTGAAGATAAATTTGAACAAAATGATTAGTTTCAAAAAATTTTGTTTACTTTTGGTCTTAGTCAAAACGGAGGATCCATTAACCAAATTTAAAAAGAAAGCTCATAACAAAAAGGAAAACTAAATAAATAAATAAAAATAACACCATTGACTGCATCAATTTTGAGGTTATCAAAGAGTTTATTGTGTCGAATTTGTGCAATAAGCAGAAGTTGGAATGGAATGAAATTTGAAACTTGGACTCAGCAACTTTGTGATGTTTATAAACAATTATTCTATATGGCTATTTAATCTCAAATTATAAGGTGAACTGAGAACGATATCAATATATGACGCTTAAATAATAAAGTAATCAATAAACGATGTAAAGCATAAAATGATATCATTGTATCAAACATTTCATCACTTCTTACTATATAATTTCTCAGTTTGCATATAGAAATGAACTTACTCTAAGTTCCTTCTCTTGATTTAAAAAATTTGTGCTATTTGCGGTAACCATTGAACCAAGTTTCGCATTTAGCTGTTGATTCTACAACAAAGCATGTTTTTCTTATTCCCAAATTAAAGATGTAAATTTGAAGAAAGTAAGGAATGATAACGATTGTTTATCAACGAAGTAAAGTAATACTATTCGACATGATCGGTAATGCCTACAATTGCTTAACTTTTTATGAATTTATTGATAAGTATAAAACTCTAATATTTTTCTTATGAAAAATTAGGAATTTGATTTTTCTTTACAATCGTCTGACATATCAAAAGAGATCATTCGTTTAGTATGTCATTTTTGAGAAATAAAAAAAGAAAACAGAATTCTGATAATTGCTTTTCTACTACGATATATAAATAACATTTAACGAAATGTAATCAAAAGTAATCTCACGCATCGATGAGCGTTTCCAATTTCTTCTTCAAGTTGCCGAAGTTGTACATCTTTCATTGCCAGTTGTTCACGATGCAACACTAAATTTGCTTCCAGTGATGTGATCTAAAGTGACATAAGTATAAACGATAAAATCTTTTGTAGCAAAAAGACTTTCAACGGTGAATTTCTTTCGAAGTTAAAGTGAAAAAAAGTTAAACATTTTTCTCAACATCTTCTTTTACCCGAAAAAAAGAATTTTGAAGTTAATTTTGGTGCTAAAATAAACTAATTGAAAATTCAGACTTATCACATTTATGAATTATTTCAGATATAGGATTAATTTCATTGAAAAACCAAAAAAATCTTACCTGACGCTGATGATTCTCACAGCTTCCGTCAATTATATTCCCATTTGGATTATTTTTTTTCATTATTTCATGCTCAGCACTGTTCCTCAACTTCAGGATATGAATCTGTTGAAAATACTTATGGAATTTGTGAATAAAGATGAAGAATTATGAAGCGAATAAGGCAAGTTAAAATTAAAGGAAGCAACAAAAAGTGGAAAAAATTTCGAAAATTTAAACGTTTTGTAATAATATATTTCTTTAGTTTAGAACTGTGCAATAACACAGACAATAAATCATTCCAAAATGCAATCTAGAGATCTCATTTTATAAAAAGTTTCAAAAATCAAAATATAGATATCAAGCAAAGGAATGAATTACAAGATCAAGAGATTGATGTGAATTATTCTCAAAGTGGAGAGAAAATTGTGCATATTTCTTGGCTCATATAAAATAAGTTTAAAGTATCCGAGAGAATGAAACAGATGTGATAGAAAATGGATTCCCAGAATTGAAATTCTGGACCTATTTTAAAAAGAAAACCTATAGTGTTTATTATCTGAAACTGAATGTGAAAATAAAATTATTTTAAACAATAAAATATAATAAATCGATATGAGAAGTACAATAAAGGAAGGTATGGTAATCTTTAAAGTATCTCAATATCAGTACAATTCAACAAGTCACAAAATAATGCGCAAACTAAAGGACGAAAAATTGTGTTAGACAATAACTGCGAATGACGTTCACATCAGATATGTATACCAGTTAACACAGATTTTAAATGGTGTAAAAAGCAACGGTCATACAAACCAGATTTTTAATTAGTTCCTGAAAATTTGAGGATAAATAGTGCTTTTGTGAGAATAATATTTTCATTGGAAATGAATCGACATTGAACCAATAAAATGAATCATTTAAACGATCTCGAAAACAAAAAAAAAAAAAAAAAACACTATAGCAAAAAAGCAAAATTCACTTCATCGTTCTTTTTTCTAAGTTTAATTTCATCCTATACCTGACTTAACCAACAAATTGTTTTGTTTTTAAAGATAGGAAGCTGAGTGTAAATTTTATTATTAGAATTGTTTTGTCCTAACCATGTCCTCCAACTAATTTTAGAACAAATCTGAATAAGTATCTAAAAGGTATAATATTTTAGCGTTAATCGATGAGCACGATAACCTTGTGGTTATATGAGTACCGCAATAACAAGTTAAAAGAATCAGATTGCCTTAATAAATATAACAATGATGGTTAAAATAAGATTAACTGTGTCCCATCCTAGCAATATCATTAATCTAACAGCAATTATTCCAATTGTATCCTTTATAAAATATGTGGACCAACGTTAAATTTGAAGAAAAAATTTATATGTGAATCTACTACTGTTTGATGACACCACAGATGGCAAACGGTACCTTATATTTGAATTTGTTATGTTCAATAGCGAAATACTGGGATAGTAGGACATTCATTAATGTCGGAAAAGTAGAAAGAGATAGGTATCCGTTAATTAATAATCATTCTTGAAATTATGCAATAGTTTTCAAAAATCGATGAGCACGGTAACCTTGTGGTTATTGCAATTTTAAAAAGGTCTATGAGAGAAATCATTTTTATAGAGTAATTTAAAAGAGATAGTAGGCGTTTGATCAAAAGTATGCGAATATAACCCTTCTGCTTTTCATAAACAATTTGATAAATAGAAAGAGAAGACAATAACTAAACTGGTAAATGCCAATTTTTCACGAGGTGTTGGTAAACAACAGATAATGTGAGAAAGAAAGCAAAAATTGCATTCTTGCGATTTTCTTTCTTTTAATTGATTAATATAAATTTAGAAACTTTTCCTTACAGTTTTGCAAAAGAAGTGTACAAAGAGGTTAAACATTGACATAATGTCTCAAATAATAATAATAAAAATAATAATAATAATAATAATAATAATAATCGTGCAAATGATTACATGGATAGAAGAAATTGACAAAAATTAGGATATTTCACTAATTTATTCCCAAAAATGAATAAGATCTTTACTTAAAATGCAATATTTTCATCCATACAGTGTACCGTAAACGGAGACAACTAGCCTTCCTGGATAAATTTATTTGTGTGTTTCAAACTAGGTATCAATCAAAAATGTAGAGGATTTTTATGATGGCTATTTCACGTTGTAAAAAAGAATTTACCGAGAAGCAGTATAGTGATAGTGTGAAAAAGCTTCCCGGAAATGAGATATCTTAGCAACCAAATATAGAAAATTTGTATGCCAATTATTGAAATGCAACATAAAGATATAATGAAACATAGATAGAAATAGTTGTTGTTGTTAGGTAAGTATACAAAATATCATCTAAAGAAGGGTGTAAAACTTAATTGGCCTATAATATCTTTTAATTTTTTTCATGGATAGAAAATTTGTAACACTCTCAAAAGAACATCAGCAAGCACTGAAATGAGACTATCAGAGTGTTAACAGATGAAAATCTAGACCTTCTACAAACTAAAATGGCGAAACATTTTTGCTGTCATGTATTGCAGAGAGAAATTTTCTCACCTATACTCTGTGCTGGACAAAGGGAAAAAATTTTTTAAACCATCAAAGTGACTGATATAAATATTATTGAAAAAGAAGACTGTTAAACTGGTATATGTCCGATGAAAGAATTTGCTGCACCTCTTCTGTGTTAAATCTGATTAGAAGACACCAACAGCAATAGAGTTTCATAAAAGACAATCAAAACTAAATTAGTAGATTAAATTTATCTTTGTTTTGATGCTGTCAATATCAACATTATTGAGCCAGGTGACATTCCAATAGTCAATGTTTATGAGAGATGTTTTATAAAGTAAAATATTTCTTTGTTGTGGTTGTGGATAGGACATTCAATAAAGTGATCCAAAACTATATTCAAGCTTTTCGTTTTTTCAGTCCAACAATTTTAATATAATATAGATATTATATAGAATATTAAATAGATAAATTCACTGCTAAAATTCATAAATAAATTATCCAAAAGGTTTGCACTGCTTATGAAAATGACTGAGCACTGCTTTTTTTCAAAATGTAGGAAATGCATTAAGAAACCAAACAAATCTTGAACAATAAACACTTGGAAAAAATATATATATATATATTCGTTAATCTAATTAATTTAATAAATTCTTACTTCATTTATTTGATTCTGCAATTCCATAAGAACCGGTGGATGTTTACGGGCATATTCAACTAATCGTTCACAGTATTTTCGTAAAGTTCCGGAATTTGAAAGCGTTGCTTTATCGTATTCAATCTTTTTCAGTAAATTATTCAAGAAGAGAGATTTTTCATCGTTAATATCTACAGATGGAGTAACAGAATTCAGAACCTATAAAAAAGCATTAAAGTATGAGCTAACTACAATGAGTGATTTTTCAAAATTTAATAATGGTCTATAGAGATTTCTGAAAAAAGCATTAACCTCTACAGCTTCATCACGAAATCGATCACTGGGTAACAATAATTTCAACTGATCGATGGCATCTATAATAGACTGTCACCAGTGGAATGAAATAATCAACAGTGGTATTTACATAATTAGATAGTAATGCTGCAAGCAAAAAATAAGATGTTATTATAAGTTTTGAAATAAAACTGAAATTTTAATAAAAAATCAACTTTAGTAGACAAATCAATAATTCATTCTTTAATAAAGCTAAAATTTATTTAAAAAATATTATAAAAATAGGAACTTTATAAAGTTGCTATAAAATTTATAAATAGCAACTTTACCAGCTAACTTGCATGCAAATTTAGCATCACTTGTTTTGTCATAAAATTTGAGCTGTATTTGAAGTAATTGTGCAATTCGTTCCGCTTTAGCCAGTTTTTTTGCTAGCTGAAAATTTGTTCACAAGACACGAGATTAACTAGTAAAAAAAAAAAAGAACGATTGTTATTTTTTACCTTTTACTTTCCAACCTACAATTTCAACTACTAAGTTATCGGATAACATCAGTTTAGTTGATGCTAAAAACAAATAAAATTATTTCAAATAAGTACTAATAATCTCGTATTTCCAAACTGTTCGTGTTCCACGAAGTATTTAAAAATCATCTGGATGCAACTACTTACAATGTATTGAGTAAAAGAAAAAAAAATGACCGAGAAAGATGACAAAGAAACTCTAGTTTAGTTGGTCAATAAAAAAAATTACAAATAGAAACTTACAGTTTTATTAATATTACGTAAAGTCTTGATTTCTTGTAACTTATCTGCATCAGTATAATTCTCGGTCTCCTAGAAAACATTGACTACAGATTCTTTATCTTCAATGAGTCATTCTTTTAGTAGTTTCTGATGATCAGTTGCAGTGATTATTGTTATAATGCGCTTTTGAGAGGGAGATTCATGTGATTTTCATGATGACAAATAACTTAAAATATCATTGAATGGCTGAAACTGAGATAACTTACAACAGATGAAGTTTCGCAAAAGGATACTTCCTTCTTGTTAAATGGCTCGGAGTGGATGTTGTTTTTTTCCGATAACTTACTATAATGTTTTTTTTAATGAACATTGTGAATACATAGTGAAAAAGAAAGAACTTGCCTCTTTCATGGATACAACTAGACTTCAAATTAGTCGAAACTTCTAAAATTGGACAATTAATTGAGAAAAATTTTCGAACAAACCTCAAATTAAAATCTCTGCATTCACTATTTATATGAATTGGATTTTTGTCATCCATTTCTTGTACGACTACCGTTGCAACATCCAAATCTGAGTTCCGTTCAAAACAGTTCCGTCTGATCGCTGTACAATTAGCATCAAAAGATGGACTCCGTGTCACAGTATTCTTTCCGATACTTTAGAAAACAACAATAAATGATAATTGTATACTAACTGGTCATATAATTAAAATGTTCCATTACTCCATGAGTATCACTCCATCATTTTTAATTATGACATCTTTCTAAGTAAATGAAATATTAAAAATAAATTGCTAGAATGTATTCAAGGATATTCAAAACAGTTTTGACTTAAAATCAACTGAGACCAATACCATCTCTTCAACGAGAGAGCTGGATTATTAAATTAGCCAACATTATGCTATAATAGTTAGTCGGTTTGAGGTTTCGGGAAATGTAATTCCATGATTCAATTCTATTTAACTATTATTATTTGCATTACGATTATTTTAGTTTATATTCTATTCAGATTTCATGTCTGATAATAGCTTTAAAAAAAGGTAAAATTAAAAAGTGAAAAGTAGCACTGAAATTGTACAGTACATGGAACAAACAGACTGGAAAAAGAATAATGAACAGTTGCACTTAGTACTTCTCTTTCAATTCTTGAATCAATCTTTCCCACTCCCTGCCTGTTTCTAGAAAGTATTTATTTTTAGGGCAAGTAAAATAATTAATCAATTAAAAAACCATTTACATTAATAAATCATTCAGTCTATGTAATGGAAACGTCTTACTCATTTAATGCCTTATTTGTTCATTCGCATAACTGCTCGTTTTTTTCATTTCTTTATTACATCGATAAGTGATTTTTAATAATAACAAAGACTAAGAACGATAAAAATGACACTGTGATGGCAAATACCAGTACATTATTACATTATTTTCCTAATTTCAAACAAAAGTAAATCTAGAAATGCTGAACGAAAATAAAAAATGGATGATAACTATCAATTCTTTTTTTTTTTGTGTCAAAAAATCAAAAGATCGGCGAAACAATAAGTTGGAATATGGCATATGAACCTCAGAACATCATCTGAGGTTGCAACACCCTTTTTACAAGCATTTCGTCATTTAATATCCGAGTTTGGACAATTAGTAATATCCAAATATTTGGCTGAATAATTATTACAAAATGGCAAATGAGTAATTCCCACATATTTTAGTGCTTGCTTTACTAAGTCACAAGGAAACCATCTCTCTAATATCAGTTCATGTGTACTACCACTGCCAAAAAAGGAACAGTTATGACAATGGTACCTTTCGTTCTGCGCACTGGAATAGCTGTACAAGGTTAATTAAAATTAATGAAATGTAAACTGGGGTTTAGCATCACCACTGTCAAAAAAAGACAGGGTTATGTTACAGCGTTAGTAAATCATAACATCCTCAATGAATATTAATCATCGTTTCATCATTCCAAGAAAATAAATAAAATGTGTTAAGCATTCCATACACATTCCAAACAAGCATTTATTTCTGTCCATTCCCCCAATGCGTAAATATTATGAAAACAAATCAGAAAACTAAACGAACCTAACAGTTTCGGTACTTTGGGCGGTACTGTTATTGAAGCAGTGCGATTGTTCAAATGATGCCGTACCGCTTACAGTCTATAAAGTAAATAAATATAGAAACTGTAAAGTTCTGTATGGTTCTTACAGTAATTACATCATTTAACTTGTTCAATAGTAATAAGTATATCATAATAGGTAACAATCATTTCATCCAAACATAACAGTATAATGATACTGATTCGTACCGCAGAAACATCAGGTCAATCCCGAGAAAAAGCCGTAAATCAAATATTAGTAAGAAATGAATTAGTTTTAAAAAATGATTTGTGCTCAAACAACCTCATAGATTTTTTTTTTTTTTTTTTGGGAAATGTCTACGGTGCTAACCAAGAAACTTATAGTCTCCAACTTACTAGGAATCAGTTCTAAACTATTATACGAATATCTCACAAGTATTACACAAATTTCTAGATGGCCTGCATGACATATTAAGATTAAAAACGGAAAACAACAAATAATTATTTATAGTTTGACTTTCTTAGTTCAAATAAGTCAAAAAGTAGCCTTATAAGTTATTGCGACGATTTCATTTTCATATAGATAGAACCAAAGAGAGACCAAATAAACTTGGTAAAAATAGTTGGAATTCACTAACTAACTCAGATTCACCCAACTATCGGTGTCTCTGAAGCACCTTATGAACAGCCATCACAGTATCAAAATTTCTTAACCAATTTCTTATTTTAAGTTATAAATAGTTAAAAAAATGTAAATTCGCAAAAAAAAAAAAATAGAGTAAAAAATGTTACAGGTCCGCAAAAGTGTGCAGGAGAAGAGATCAAACACAATAATTAACGTGTTAACAATTTATCAAATGAATAAATACTTTTAACTAAGTTCAAACTGTTTGTTCATTTAATCAAAGTTGACCTCTTGTTTTTTTTTTTTGTTATTGCATTCTACCAAAAAGGTGCATACCGTTGTGAGGTCTATATCAGAGAGAGTACTGGGCTGTGATTTCCTAGATAATTGATAACTTTCGAGAACATGTTCGTGATTTGAATTCTGACTGGTAGCACTTGATTGTTGGGATGATGTACTTGGAAGAGAATCATCTACTGCAGACACATTTCTGTACCTTGATCTGCAATTAACTGAATCATATTTATCAAAAAAAAATGCCAAACTAGAAGACTGGAAAGGAAAAAGGGAAATTAGAAAAGTTTTAAAAAACAGGACGTAACTTAAGAAAAGCTTACTCAAGTTCTTTATGAATGACGGCATATTTTATGATGCATTTCAATTCTGAGAACTCTAAAACAATGGATGTTTTCTGTACTAAAAAAATTTGTCAAAACTTTCACCAACAGTTTTTAATGAAGAAAAAAGGGAGTTATATGGGTTACAGAAAAAAAAGTCGACTCTCATACCCTAAAGAGAAGACTTATCTAGAAAAGAAAGTGCGGTAATGCATTCTTATAAATTTATCAGATAAAATTCTGCGGTTACTATTTATTATTGGTTAATTGAAAATCATTTTGAAAAAGAAAGAAACAAAGAGTCGAATGTAAATAATAATTGTTGCTTTTTAAAATTTAAAATAATGGCACTTATTTATTGATGACAATTTACTTACAATATTCACTAATCAAACAAGCCAATTAAATCCCAAAAATCCACAAAAATGTGAGAAAGAAACTTGCAACGATTTCATTCACAATGGGAAGACTATTTATAAATAAATTTTTTTTCATTCCTCTCTTCAACTTCTCTACCCACTAGACTGCCACTTAAAAAATATGGAAAACATATAAAAATTTTCAAAAATAACGAAATAGAAAATTTTTGAGGCTTATCACATCAGTCTAAATGCAAACTTATATCGAATTAAAGCTCTCAAATTACCCTTCTATAAAATATCTTCCCATAATATAATAAGACTCTCTTACTAATATAAGTAATTATCAAATTAACTCTTATTTACTAGATTGATTAAAAAATTGAAGACTTTTTGACTTAGTCAAACTGTTACCTCCCACGTTGAACAGATGCTAAATGTCGAGTATGATCGATATTCCCAGGTGATGTATTCCGTTTCTTCAAATTGTTGAAGAGATTAAGAAAATCTGCATATTTTCTAGCATCAATGCCATCCAAACAAGTCATATCTGTTGATCTTTGTTTGACAATATCACCGTTATCATCACCGCTACTTCTAACATCCTCAATTCGATTATGCATAACAACACCTTGTGCTTTATTCTTTCATTCCAGTAACTGCAATTAACAATTCGATAATTTAATATTTAGGACACTTTGATTCAATTCAGAATTCAAAAAATGTAAAAAGAGGAAAACGATTGAAGCATAACACCCAAATTGCAATCTGTCATCCGGAATTACTTATCCGCCACTACACGATGAATAATAGTACTCTAAAGGACTTTTCATTTTCGATATACAGCAAACTTGCTGGTACGTAATTCAGTTTTAATAGAAGAAAAATTTCATTCCAACTTAAATACACAAAATCTTAATTAAGACAAAAAACTCAATAAAGTTATCATCCAGTAAGACTTCGGAAAATACTAACAGACTCGCACTCACAACACATAAACACGTGTCACTCTCCCTTCCTCCTCATACCTTTAACCTTTCCTTTACTGTTGAAATGGCGTGAGATCACAGTTTTCATTACGGACTGACGTGAGCAGAGACCCGCTGCGGCACACTGTTAACTTCCGTGTGGGGTTTCGTGACTGCGTGTCATTTCTTGGGTAATCAGTTGATTCCGTGTAGTCTCTTTCATAAGTCACTTATCTTTGTTGTTTAATGTATATGCATTTAGGCGATTAAAAGTTCTCAGTTGGGATATCGCGGGAGTTTTACGATTACTCCGTGAAGTGGCTAACGTTTAATGGATCAGTTAGAAGTGAAAGAAGTATGCTCCACTTCCGGCGAAAGTTTCTCTTCTTCATGTGAAGATAATGATAATGATGATGATGGTTTGATTAATTGTGCATGCTTTTTTTTTTAAATTTATTTTAGAGTTGCTTCCCAAATTTCAATTTCTTTTTTTTTCATTTTTTATTAATACTGACATTTTTTTCGGCACCAATTTTCCGTATTTTAGAATCTCCCATAACACAAAAAAAAGTGGACAACCAGAACACGGTTGTTTTTGACGATGGAAAACAGCAGAAAGTATGTTACTTCATCAGATTTAAGAATTTAAAGTAGTATAAAAAAAATTTTGTAGCAAAGATAATCTTATTGTTCTTTCTTATTCTCTCTTATTTAGTAGCTTGCAGAAGCTAAGGAATAAACTGTTGATTTTAAATTTAATTTACAGAAAAAGTTGAAACGTACGAAACGTGAATTGCGAGCAGAACATTCAGCGAAGCATAAACGGGATCGAATGGGTATGGTATTGCCAGATCCAGTACAAGATCGGGAACGGGAACGCAATTTTGTTCATCTTGCAACAAAGTTCATTTTTCTTTCAAGTCATTTTTATTAATACGCTTGATTTTTCATTGTTGTTTCTAACTTATTATTATTTAATACATCCATTTCTACGACATTTCCATTATTAAGTATTGTGTTTATTGATTCAGTTGAGAACATTCTCATGTAGCTAGTAAAAGCATTCAAGCAAAAAAAAAAAAAATGTCGGAATTTTCCGGATGTATTGCTAGGACATATTCACATTTAGGGTTCTGTTATTAATAGTGCAGTAATCTATTCATCATTATTAGAAACAGATGTTTGTCGTTATTAGAAACAGATGTAACGATTTTGGAAAAATTACTTATAGAGGTATTGTACAACTATTTAATGCTGTGGCCGAACGACAGAAAGAGCTAAACAATGCATCATCAGCAAAAAAAAAAAGCAAGAAACGTCGATTGCATGGTATTTCTGCAGAAAGCTTTAACAGGAAATTAATGGAATCAAAGTCAGTTAAGGTATCCAATTTCAAACATTTTTTTGCAGTTGCTGTAATTCCATTGATAAAGGTACATATTTCGCCATGTTTTTTATTTGGATTTTTATGTAATATAAAATTTAGGATGAAGTAAATGATACAAAAGAAGATTGGCTATCTGATGATCAGACGGCAATTAAATGTGAGACAGAGGACGACTTAGATACTTCTGGAGTTAAGACAGAACCAGAGAGTGATTCGGAATGAAGTCCTTAATGTTTGCGCGTTTGTTTCATCTAGAAAGGTGTTAGAAAACTAAATTAAATTTTGTTTCCTTGTATCATGCTTGCTCAAATTTGTTTTCTGATAATAGTGAATCTATATAAACTAAGAGGAAATAAATGAAATTTAGACATATAGAAAACGGTTGCATTTTATCAATGTTTTCTCGATGTTCCCAGATTTTTAAAGTTTTATTGTTATCAGTTCAGTGCAGGTATATAAAAAGTTATGTCTTGTTTCCTTACAGTTATATACTTCAGATTAGAGGGTAATCAATTTTGAATAGCTATTTTTATTAACACCTTATTTCATATTCCCACCTCTATATGTTACAAAAAGCAGAAATTTTTAATTTTTTCTTGATAGTAGTATAGAATTGGTACCAGTGAGGATATCCAATTTTCTCAAACAATTCCATTTTGTCCCATTTTCGGGAAGCAAAAATGTCTATAATCAGTTAGATTGGGTTCAATTCTTTCACAGTTTAGCTATGTGAAGAAATTATGCTTAAATGTCTACAAATTTTTTTGTTCGGAAAGCGTGTTGTTCTGCAAGAAACGCCATGCAAATAATGTAAGCAAATTTTATTGAACAAAAAATTGACGAATTATTCATTTATTAGGGAGTTATTTGGTTAAATTAAAAAATTGTACAACATGTTTAATGAGGATTATAAAATTGGCAGTATAATACATATTTCAAATGACTTTGAAAAATAACAATGAAATTGGCATTGCAAAAGACAAAAAAGAAAGGGCAGTAAAATATTAAATGCAAATGAATAGATCGTTGATTGATTAAAGGCCGCAGTTTTGAATCTTTTCAGTGAAATGTTGTAATGTATAAAGCAGAGAGTGAAATCAGTTGCTGTTTCACTGTTATTCCCTTTTGATGGATGGAAATTTAATTCTCAAGCACAAATTTATTACTTTTCCACTATTTAGTTCTAACGCTATATTTGAGAAGTGATCAATTATTTTTCTTAAATTTGACTTCGTTCCTGATTTTCAGTCGTACGTTCTATCTCACTTTTAGAGAATGTCTCTCATTGGCAGTTATGATAAGCAAATTATAGTAAATGAATACAGTGATTTAGTACATAACAAAACAGCAAAATTGAAAAAAATATAAAATTTTTCATAATAAGAAAAAAGTGAAATTGAAGTTTCAAAAGAGGAAGAAAAAAGATTATCTAATAATGTTACAAACATTGCTATTGACGAGTGTTTTTCTAACAATTAACTTGACATAAGCAAGAACAAAATATGTTTCGAGAATATATTTCATTCTTGTTTATAACTGTCATATCAAAGAAACAAAAATAGGAATTAAACATAAAGTCCCAGAGTGTGTGTCAGTGCTAACAATAGATGTGATCTAAGATTAATAGAGAAATTGAAAATTAATTGAAATTTTATTGACATATCTGATTTGCTTAATTGTTAATACTCAATATCTTAAGTTTCTCATTTAATTTTTTTTTAATAAAAAAAGCTTAAAACACAATGTCCTTCACATAATGAGCATTAATTTTAGTTATGGAAATAAATAGAATGCATCGAACCAATCTCCATGTATCACATTGAACAGTGATGGATGTTGTTGAATAAGCAGTACGAGAATTGTCTGAAATGACATTTTGTGACATCGATCGAACAAAAGTCTAACATTTGCTTAGATGGTGTTTATTACGATTAAAGATGCAAAAATGCTTACACTGTTAAAATATTAAGCGTATGCAAACTTCAGAAATTTTCACATTTAAGAAATGTCCAAATAACAAATTTAACGTGATTTGACGTATAAATACACCGTTTTTTATAATAACTTCAAAATAAACAGAGCTACCTGATCATCGTCAACGTATTTCCGGTTAATTAAGTCGACAACCATTTGATGATATAGTTGATGAAAACGACTTAGCGAATAGATATCACCACCAAGGAAACCTCCACTTACTACAGCCCAGTTCTTGCGATACAAATCAGCAAGCGTATATCGTGATATACTGTCATACCACGGTGTCACCTGAAATAAATTATATATTCCATACTTGTTAAATATGATGACAATTCGTTATTCCATGATTCTACGAAGCGTTCAATTATTATATGAATTTCCCTGGTTCCTAAGAAACTCTCGTTCCCATAATAGTTATTACCTAATGAAATACAGGTACCTCTCTTATTCCCCATCCATTTTCCAGGTAGATCTCATTAACCTCTTATATTGTATTACTAATAAACATCCTTATCGCTTCATCTTATACATATTTTTACAATGCCTAGTATTTAATTCAAATAATGATGGTCGGAATTGTAAATTTTGCATTTATAAGACTGAAAAAGTGAGAAAATTGAGGGATAAATGATTGATTACCTTAATGAGAGAAATTTTTCCACGTATCAACGTAGGATGCCAATGAAATGATGGCGGAAATATAGATTGATTACCATGTGCATAACCTGCATCCAACCATGCAAAAAATTCACTTTTGAATGGATTATTTATCTAAAATAATTGAGAATAGAATTAGAACTTTGAATAGAATTTCAATAATCTTTTAGTAATCAATTCTTCATGTTTTTGATTCTGTTTTTTTTTTCTCCATTTTATTTTATAAAATGTAAATTTGCAAAATATTTTTAGCAATTTAATATTTATTAGAATTTTGCATTATTTAAATAGCAAATTCAATTGTATCCAATTTGATTTACTCATTGTTTTAAACAACTTTCATAGGTATGATGAATAAGAAAATTGATTTTTAGAAGTTTTAAATTTGCTAAAATTTTACTCTGCGATTGTTTTTAAAAAATTTACCGAGGCATTGTACAAGAAATACGATTTGGAATTAACCAATATATCATATTTAGCACTTTTTGCTTCTGGATGTGAACTCATAGAACGATCCCATTGCTGATCCCAACGTTTATCATTTCGTTCATCTGATATTATTTGCATTGCCGTTTTCATATATCGATGAAGTGGAAGTTCAGCCAAAGTAATTGGAATTACCTTCAAATTTTAATTTTCAAATTTATATTTTTGCTAATCGTTTGACATGCCGCGTTCGATAATTTAGTTAAATGATATTAATCAAAAGTTTTGATATGCAAAACTAATAGTGGGAGTGTAAATGATAATAAAAGTATCATTTTTTTTTTTAATTCAAATTCATATCTTTTAATAGAATTCATTTGATCAAGAATGTAGTACTTACCTCAGTGATATGCTCCAAATGATATAATTTCCTTTGAGTGTAAACATATTTTATGCTTTTTTGATCAACAAAAATGACTAAATTAACTTTTAGCTTTAATAGATTTTGCAAGAAACCATAATAACTTTCCAGTGGACGACGATACTCCCACCAGTCACCTCTTCCGATATCCAGTAGAGCTGTTACTAAAGTAAAATCTGATTCTGTGACCCTAAAATCATCTTCAATACACTTTTAGTTTTGATGAAAAATTTGTTTTGAATTTATCAGTGCATACGTTACCTATTATTTTCATTTAAAGATTATTGTGCATGTGGAAGATATTTAGAAGTTTTGTTTTTATTAAAATTAAAAATTTTTTCAACTGTTAACTTTTGAAGTATGTATGGACTGAAGTATATGTTGTTAAATGTTTTTGAATTGATTTGTCCTTCAGCTCTTCGATATCTGTTTAAAAATTAATTCACTACCGATTACTTGTTAAAATCCGAAATCTTACTTTAGTGATGTTTTCGTAGTATGTTCTAAAGATTCCACCGATTTTAAATGATTCAATATGTCCTGACTACGAGCTTGTTCCTGGTGCAGTTTTAATGTTGTTTGTAAAACAGTAAATCGAGGATGGGCAATAATTCTGGTGGATGATGAAGGTTGCTGCAATTCCTCGGTTTGCAGTTTTGCTTGTATTTCCGTTGATATACCCAAAAACTTTTGACCTTAAAAGATGAGAACATTAAGGTGTAACTTGGCAATGCGTATTTATCTGTATTTAATAACAAAATCCGACATGCAAGCAATGAAAGTTCTACTTTTCTTTGATAAATCAACATGCTTTTCCGTGTTCGGTAATCGTAATTTGACAGGAAGTGAAGATAACGGTTCGAACGTTGATGATAACAGAGATAATGAAAATATCGATGATGGAGTAGATGATAGTGGTGAAAATTGAGATTTCGTCGCTGTTAATTTAGGTTGTTGTTGCTTCTGTTGATGCAATCTGTTAGGAGGTGAAATTCTTCTTAGTGGAATGGTACTTCCTGAAGTATTGGAAACAGTTGTTTATTTCTAATGCTAGCAGAAGAGATAATGATTATAACTATACCTGCAATAATAGGTGGTATTGTTGTTGTTGATGTTGTTGTTGATGATGTTGTTATTGATGTTGTTGTTGATGTTGTTGTTGATGTTGTTGTTGATGTTGTTGTTGATGTTGTTGTTGTTGTTGTTGATGTTGTTGTTGATGATGTTGTTGTTGATGTTGTTGTTGGTGTTGTTGTTGTTGTTGATGTTGTTGTTGTTGTTGTTGATGTTGTTGATATTTTTGATGTTGTTATAGTAGTATGAGAAGAACGAAGATCAAAAATACTTGAAATGAATGGCTTCTTTGTAGTTTCATTTGTAAATATATTTGATGTATCAGATACGAATGAGAAACCAATATTGTTAGCATCAGTTATTGTTTGATTCTGAAATATTTTTAAATATTGGTAGATTATTTATTAGTCTTTCAAAATTTTCAGAAATAATTTATATCGATAAATAATAATTTTGGTAAGTAATCATAAAACTCATTGCTTAAAATATAAACTTGTAAATTGTATAAATTAAATTTAAGATTACAATTTCCAAATCATCAAATGAAACCAACATATCATTCAATAGTTTATCTCTCTCTCTTCCTCTTATCAATCAATTCTCTGAAAATATCTCTACCATCTATATCTCACCGTAACATAGAAGTTAGATGCCGGATCGATAGTCGAATTTGTTAAACTCAAATTTTGTTTGCTAGTTTGTTCCAGTCCTGGTTTCTTAATCCTTATATACTTCCCAAGTTTCTTATTAAATTTGTATCGATGTCGATGTTTCAATGTTGTGGGCGAATCCACAATTGCATCTGATATCATTCTCAATTATAATAATATTTGATATTGCATTGTTTGTAAAAATTTTTGTATCAAATGAAATTTTGACAAGATTTGTAAATTTAAAAATATAAAAGCATTAGGAATGAACAAATCAATTTTTGTAGTTAGTCAAAATTTTTTAGCAAACTTGCACTGTTTGATTAAATTTTTGGATTCTGATTCTCTACTTGAATTCATAATGGTAATATGAATAGATGGCATAAAGAAATTTGAACTCAAAATAAAAGATCTGAATTTCAGGTTTTATTATGGTCAACGATAACTGAGGAAAATGAAATGGTAAGAACTGATGAAGTATGATAGATCGTAAAAAACGGTAGTTCATGTATAGTTTATATAATCAATTATATTATGAGTGATTATATAAGTTCGATAATTTTTATATTTTTCAAGAAACAAAGAAATATTTGTTTATTTTAAATTAAAAAAAAAAAATTAAAAAAATGTTTAGTTTCTTTTTTATCTGAAAAACAAACCATAAATTCTTCCTGATCGAATACTATTAACGTACTTTTGAGTTGTCGTTGAAACTGTTACCAATTTGATTTTACTCTGTGAAATCAATATTTATTAACAATAAACAATATGAAATTCTATTAAAGCATTACTTAAAAACCATAAGTAAAACGAATTACTTTGATAAATAATAATTTTTTTCATTATTTTACAAAAAAATAAATGAAGCGTATGCGATTATTCGATTATTCAATCATTTCTGTTGCAATTTGTTATCACAATTAGCATTTTTGATCTTTCATTCTTTCAATTCTTTTAAAATTCTTTCAAAGATAAAAATAGAAAAACAAAGTGGCAGATTATTCGATTAATCACTTTTGCTTTACTTAATTAATTATTCATTTATTAAAGTAATATAATCAAATTAACAGTAAATAAATAACAAATCATACTTGATTGAATATGAATGTTTTGATAATATTATAGACGACGAACAGATTTGATAATATAACGATCGTCAGTAATCCGATGATAAGCCAAATAACGTAAAACTTCATTCCTCCACAGTATACCACCCATCCATCCAATTTACTCTATCATAAACTTTATGTTTTTTTTTTCTTTTGTTTTAAAGTTACTACAATCTCTTACACTGCTTGAATTCTTGACTTAATCACTGTGTCTTTTATAATTTGATAAATCTGAAATTTGATCTCATCATTACACTATTTTTCAGCATCTCTTTCAATATATTAAACCATCTTAAAATGTCTTTCGCTTCTTCAAATTTTTAAAGTATTAAAATTTAATCTAATTGTATTTGTTAATTAATATCTAAATTCAACTTTGTATATAATATTTCTCATTTTAATACTAAATTGCAGTAAAAACTTTTTTTTCCGTAATATGTACCTCAAATTTTAAAATTATTACACTGCTAAGTTACAGACTGACCTGTTTAGCTTTTTACATTGTTTCTTTCTTGTGACATTTCTGGTAATATTTCCTATCATTAATTAAATAGGCATTAAATTTAATTTTAAAATTCATATGGAGAAATATCATGGAGAGTAACTGATGATTAAATGATAAAAATGATTTGCAAATTTATTTACTCAGTTAAAATTGGCATTTTTTTTTTAATTTCAGTTTTTAAAAATTCGAGTTATTGAGCTTTATTTGAGCAATTACACATCGTTTCTTTATATTAAACATTGTTTTTTTCCGCCTATCGCAGAAGTCAGATATACGAGAAACTAAATCATAAAAATATTGTTTAACTTATAATAAAGGTATTAATTAGTTTATTTATTCATTCTCAAAACATCGTTTTCTTTCCAACTGTTTAAAATATTTTTGTTATAAATCCAAAAGTTATAATTTTAACCATCCGTTCATGTACTTTAATAGGATTTCGTGGAAAATTTCTGGAATTTTCATCAATATTTTTTGCAATAACATTTGTTATCAATTTGGAATATTAGCCTATCATATTTATGGGTTTATTACTTATTAAATTGTAAAGACTACGCCAATATAAAATAAACAAACTTTGAGTCTTATTTGACTTTAATTCAGATTGACTTTGCCGAGTCCCTTGATTCAAACTATCTTGTTAACTACACTTTAAACTTTGTTTAATGTAAAATACTGATAATTTTTAATTGTTGTGCTTTTCTCGAGTTTTTAAAAAGTTATTCGATTTTATGTTTTTTTGCTAATCATTTCACATTGGTATTGGGAGCAGTCTCGAATGCAAAATGGGAAGTGATTATGTGTGAAATACATTCAGTTTTATTGAAAAGATTGATTTATTGACAAATGAGCGGATTTCTTTTGATTTAATTAATTAAATCTTTTGAAAATGTTGCAATGCTATTCTATTCAATTCAATACCATTTTTAAGCTAAAACTTTAAGCTCAAAAATGAAAACAAAATATCAAAAAATTTTTTTAATCTTTTAGTTTTTTAAGGAAATGAAGAAGAAAAAATGAATTACTTACGAGAATGTCATATCGAAATGTCACATATTGTTTTTCTTCATATCGACTCTAAAATTAATTTATTTAAACAAAAAAAAAAAAAAAATTAATATAGCAAATAAATAGGGACGTTACTGAATGCAACTTGCTGCATTATTTATATAATTCACAACTTTGGTTTTTTCCACTTTTTAATTTTCCATTTTTCTTGAAATGAAAAATTGTTCGTTTACAAAAGTTTTGTCATGAAGGAAATTTAAATTCATTTTGTTTCTTTTCACTGTTATTAATTTCACTTTTCTTTTTTATAATAAAAAAAATTGATTACTACAAAGTGATTCTAAGCTGGTTTTATACATTTGAAATTGAAAATCACACTGCTTTGTATTTGATGATAATACGACAACTATAAATCAAAATGATAAATAGGCAAAAGGTAATTTTGTTATTTGCTTAATTAACTAGTATTTTATTGTGACATCATTTGATTTCATTTAACAATCATATTAAAAAGTTCATAGCAATAATTTACATCGTCTCAGTATTATCAAATTGTATGATAATAAAACTGATAATAAAATTGTGCTAATTATTATTTCTGCAGTTTATTGAAAACGATGGATAAAAATTTCAGAAGTTAGAATCGTAAATTTATGTTTCGAAATGTAAATACAAAAAGAATAATTTTTGGTAGTCAAAAATCGTCAAATTCACTTTTCAAAACTTGAAAAATAGTTACATTAAGAGAAATTAATTTAATGCTTTCATGTATGTTTTAATTTTTAAATTACTACGAACAGATGAATACAATGACGTAAAGTATTTCAGGAGCTTAACGCCTAATGTATCATCTTGTATTCACGTCACATGATCTCACGTCAGTTTTTTATATCATTTCTATGTCACGTGAGTGGCGCAGACGCACGACTTAGAATGCTTAAATGCAAGAAAAGTTTTGTTCTGTTTACTGATCCTTGCTTAATTAATATAACTATGTAAGAATGCCTACAAATTATAACAATAATTATATCAGAAAAATTAGAAATAAATGGATGGAAGATAAATATAGAAAGAAAGAAATGATATGATCGTAATGATCAGAACATTTTGTCTATTTTATTTTCTTGATCACTTTTTACATTGATTTATGAAAAGTTTTAAAAATTTTAGGAAAACCTACACCAAACATTTATTTACAAAAAGAAAAAAAGAAAAGAAAGTAGCACGATACATTCATAAATTATTGATAGTCAATATTCAGCAATATTCAATATTTGACTTTTTAGAATTCTAAAAAAAATGTTCAAAGTTCAAAACTGGAGCTTTTATTTAGTTTATTAGCTTAGCTTACGTATATACATAAGATAATTATCACGATTTATTTGTATGATTATAATTTGATAAATTAATTTTCAATAACAACTAGCATTCGACATGGTACATAAGTTATATCAATTTTACTTTGAAAACAAATATGAAAATTTTCAAATTACTTTAAACTATGATAAGAAATTATAAAACATAACTGAAATGAATTAGAAATTATGAATTAAATGAACGAAGTTACGTCTTATTCGTGTTTTAAGTTAAATGCAACATTACAATAATATACGTGATAGAAAATTATCACGTATCATTATCATTATTCATTATAGCACCGAATAGATGCAAACAGTTTGATGCGTAAATGTTTGCAATAAGGCTTTACTGATAACATACAATTTTTGCTAATGAAAAAGTCATCGTAAATTTAAAAAAAAAAAAGAAATAAAATGAACAAAAAATTTGAGCATTTCATATCAAAATGATTAAAGGTTTATTAAGCAATGAAATTATCAGAGAAATTAAAAGGGAACGAAGAGAATATGGAAGAGGAGGAAAAGGTGAGAATTAATCGATGTCGTATTTCTCGAGAAAAACTTTATCAAATGAAATTGTGAAAAATGAAACAAATAGCAACAATTAAATCATTTTTTTCCTTTGAATTCAACCGTACTAGGATAATAACTTTTTGATGTAATTTTACTTTCTACTGAGTGGAATTTAGATGCCTGAGAGATGCAAGAGGGAAAGCTACAAGTAAACAAACAACACATTGTTTGTTGATCAACTAGCTAAAATCGATTCAATAACTACAATGATCTTTTTTTTCCACACCTGTAAAAGTAAAAGTAATTGCATTAGATTTTTGAAAGTACTAAAGGTAAAATAGCAAGACGAAACATAAAAATATTCAATAAGCTAAAAACTGATAACATGTAATTAAGAATGATGTCCGAAGTATCTAAGAAAAGATATGATAACATAGTGATAATAATGATAACAGGTAGTGACTGTCGTGGAGTAATATAAAGTAGGTTTAAGTTGATAAAAGCGTTTTTGTTAATGAGTAGCACTGAGACACAATAGATAAATTACTAGAATAGTGGACTGTTTTCTTTTCGTTTTTTTTTTTGATGATCGAAGAGCTAACTTTGATAAAAGTGACAGCCACATCCGTCTGTCCACCATTTAAATTTTTTCAATTCCTCTTTACTTTT